CAGTTTGTATTGTATCTATTGCGATCTTAAGTCGTAAATAGATTTGCAATTTATTATATACTCACAGTCTCTAATCCTAGTATTAACCAGGGTAATACTTAATAACAACTAATATTCAGATATTATATTTAATTTAACGAGCACTGTGCTCACTTATTTCCATATAATGTCCAATAACTCCAGTAAAAGAGAAATTTCACCAACTTCTAAGCCAAATAAAAGGTCCAAATCTGTAACCCCTACAACTGACAACTCAGTGCTTGACAATATCGAACCTTTAACTACTGAAAAATATGTGTATTGTACACAAATGTCTCTATCGTCACCAGATTCTCCATGTCGCAGCCCCTCTATCTATACGTGCAGTATGCCAACGGTAAGACTGGTTGACATGCAAGACACTATACCTACGTGCATCGAAAAGTCAGCACAGTCTACTAGATAGTATGTTCTACCAAGGCCTAAATCTAAAATTTCAAAAACTAAAGAGTCCAATGATCCACCTCATACACACCAAAATACTGATATAGTAATGACATCCGACAGCTAAAAAACTCTCTATCCGAAATTAACAGCAAACTTGAGCAATTAGCACCCCTCACTCATATTTGGGGCCTTGACACAGACAGAAACCTTGAGCAACTCACTAAAGCTGAGTGTATTTTGGAGTTTGTGGCTGAAGAAGTGACGAAGAGAGTGATGTCCTCCTTCAATGCAGTTGTGTATAACCTCCCCGACCGCATACACCCATCTAAGTTAAGGGATATTTGCCTTAGAGCATGCGGTATGCCGAACGTTAACTGCAAAGTCATCCGCCTTAGAAAAAAGTCAGACAGATCGACTTGCCCCCTTTTGTTTATGTTTGGCTGTTGTAACGATGCTAAGCAGTTTATCGATTCGAGCAAAAATAGTAGCTAATTAATTCCGTACAAGAATATAAAAGTCAATCCAGACCTTACGCCCTGTCAACGTCGTGTAAGAAGACATGAAGCGATATAATTGAATGGGAGCGTCACAGTTAGTAATCAGCCAGAGACAGTTTGCAACACAGCAAATAGTTTAAAACACACGAACAATAAGAATGGCACCACTCCACATACGGCTGATCACTCTATTGATCTAGATGAGTCTACAGATTAGAAACCTTTGGATAAGATATGGACCCCAACTGACACCAAAAACCATAACGACATGACTAATCCCACCTGTTCGTTCAGTAATGTACTAAAATGTGAGTCGTGTAACAGTACACATCCAACTAAACCTTTACACTTGAAAATTTGTCCTCCTAAAGATACCCCACAAGTAGACTTGAATGAACGTAAGTTCATCTCACAGAGACAACGAAAGACTCCAGCTCTGAAAATAAAGGGTGGGAAGACAAAACTCATGATACCGAATAGGGGAACACGTAAGATTGAACCCAACTGCTCAATAGGTATCCCAAGAACAGTGAACACGTTCTCCCCACAATTACCTAAGAAGCACTGATTGGAGAACTTTCTTTACTGCAAACAATACCGACATATTAACCAATATATTTTATTACAACATCAAAAGTATCATCAACAACATCGCATCTTTAGAATACTGTAAACCTGCGTTCTCCAAAGATCTCTATATACCGGTCAGTACAAGAAGACATCTTCAAAGACATTGTACTCGATTCCACAACTTAAATGACTTTTCCTCTTTAGTAACGATGACAGAAATACTTGTTCGAACAAAGGCAATAAGTACACAAAAAGCAGTCGCACAGGAAAAACGTGCATTTGAACTTAATAATAACCCCTCTGCACTCACCATACTCCTCCAAAGTAAACTTAAACGTTCTAAATCGAGAGGGAGTATATTCATTAAAGGCAAACAAGCTTTATGGCACCGTAGGCTAAAAAACAATTTAATATTTCTCTACAAAGTGATATATGGGCTATCCTTTCTAACCTCCCGCCCGAATATCACCCACGACCTAGTCTATAGACTTAGAAACAATGCATATACACTACTTACCGTAAAACACCAAAAACAAATGCGTTGTAAGTTTTTTACAGTACGGTATAGTTTATTGTGGAACAGGCTGCCAATGCCTATCCGTAACTGTGATACGTTTACCAGATTCAAAAGGCTAATAACTCTATTTCTAGACTCCAAAGAGCTTCAACATTTCCTTGAACTCCCGTCCACCAATGAGGCACTTTATTACGGACCGCCTAGTATCTAGACAGAACAAGAATATAACTAGTTCGACTGTTATTAATATGAATATAACCTAATCACAGAATATATGGCTTATCCTTTCCTATTATTCATTGTTTATTAATCATTACCTTATGCTCCTAACCCTCACTTTCAGTTCCCAAATCTCCACAGGTTGAATTTACATTATTCTTCCTAAAAGTCATGCCTTTTTTCTACTGCAAGTAGACAGATAGCTCAATCTTATGGATGCTGATCTACTAAGGCCGATCATACAAAGCTTAAAATTTGGCCACAAAGTCTTATGAGTTTCTCAATGTTTTATTTTTCTTACCCTAAAATCTTTCTTCTTTTCTACAATTTTATACCCTCTCATATCTTTTGATTTGCTATTAGTCCTTACTTCTTTAAACCATTAGTTATCTTTATAGCAGTGTGATATACTATATGGACATCTAACCCATAAAACAGACTTCTCAACTATCTGATTTGCTTGTAACATGGACCTAGTAGAGACAGTGTATTCCAACTATGGGCTTTGATTAAAGCATTATTCATACTTACCACAAACGTAAGAGAGCCTAACATCACAAAAGGAGGGAGGGTGGCGTTACTGACCAGCAAACATGATGGTGGGGAGATAACTTCAATCCAGCCATGTCTGTAGGGCAGAACATTTTGTTTAATTACGGCTCCTTATGGTTTAAAAGTTGTATTGGTAATGTTAAGCTGCAGTTTTTGTTGTTTTTTCCACAGGAAAGAGTAAAAGAAGTCAGAAAATACTGGAAGTGGTTGTGAGACTAAAATGGACGTCCAGCATCCTTTTACAACCTGCTGTTCGTTGGATCTCCCGTAAACAGTTCCATAGGGCCATAGTTCCAAAGGCGAAACAGTTTTTAGGTTCTGTGAAGGCTCACTCCTGTTGCATTCTAAATGAAAAAATAGTGATGATTTTAGTCAGAAATGTGGAATATATAAATAACCAAATCACATGTTTTTTAACAAAGAATTTATGCAGTTGTGATTTACCTTGAGTTCATGAATATTAGATAAGGTCAGCTACTATTACTTGCGCAAAACATAACATGGGCTTAGTACCGTATTGCAATGCTTTTATTATTTTGCTCCGATTTCAGTATTCCCATGCATCTGCGTCTAGTTTAACAGGAAAACATACAAGCAGAGTAAGTGTCTGATAAATTAAATGTCCCAGTTGTCAAAAAGATTCTTAACATTTGTCCAAAGCCAGCTGCATTTAATTGAGACACAGAACACTCATTTTCTAAGACTGTATACTGCTGTTTTGCGGGCAACTAAAAGCTCAGACGCTTAGCAATCCTCCTATCTATGTTTTTGCTGGGGAAATTGTTTAATGACAGTGATCTTGAAATATGGTCAGTGATAGATGTACAGTCTAGAAATAAACACCAAACATACTTATCGCTATCTTATAATGTATGACAGCAACAGCATCAAAGGCACGTTTTTTCCTATTTTTAATCAGACTGATCTGAACCCGTATACACATTAGAAACAGGCAACTCTACTTAATAAACTGATCTGTTTCTTTACAGGCTTCAAGCACTATACTTAAGTATATCATAATTCTTTCAACTAAACTGAATTATACGACAACCACGAACACTAAACTAAGCAATTGTCATAGTTATTGTTTCACTTGCAAAGACATGTTGCTCAAAGTAGTTAAATGGACATAACTAAGCCGATAAAACCAAAACACGAAATATAGGCCAGTTGAACTTACCTAAGAAAAAAGAGGGATGCATATATACTGCTTTCATACTGAAGACAACAGGCAGTTGTTCATAGAAACATAGTTTACAGTACAACAAACCTTTCTTCAGTAAAATCATGCACTGACAGTCTATTTGGAAACAGTCAACTATGTGAATAAACTCACTATGACTTGAGATATCATCACAGCGTGCGATGGACGTACAGTGTAACTCAGTCGGACGTGGCGAATAAAAATTAAAAACAGAGCAAAATTAACTACATAATCTAATTATTTAATTAAAAATACATTATGAAATGACAAAATCTGTGGTTACTTGAACGCACAGATGACCCTGGGCGATACATTAAGTTTACATGGTTGCGTTGCGGATAAGTTTACCCACCGCCGCATTAGGTATTCAGTAATGAGTGACCCTTTGGTTCGAGTTGCCTATTCTACAAGGTATAGAAACAGAACAAGTAAGCATCAGTTTCAGTTTGGAAAGGACAGGAGGCTCGATGGCCTATGTTAGTCCTGGCAATGATGGTCTCTCAGTTGATCCAACTTTCTTTTGAAAGAATCGACGGATGGAGCCTCAACCACGTGCTGAGGTAGTGAATTCCACTCGTTGATGATTCGATGGGAAAGTCGATGGTCAGCTGACAAGTAATTTGTTCTCGGCTTATGAACTTTTTTGGAGTGTCCTCATAAATTCTCTGTTTTGGAAGACAAGAAAAATGAGGGCATATCAGGTGCAAATTTGGCACTAAGCAATTTGAAAACTGTAATCAAGTCGCCTCTAAATCTGCAATATGACAACGGGAAAAGGTTCAGCTTGGCCAGTCGAGATTCATACGGAAGCTTCGCTATTCCGGGAATCAGCTTAGTCGCCGTTCTCTGAACCTTTCCCAGAAGCTCACTGTCTTTTTTTAAGTAGGTGCTGGCCGCTGGAAAAAAGACCCGTGAAATTGTTCGAAGTTTCAATTGTTTTTACAGATAATTCGAATAAGTTCAGGATATTTTTGAAACTGAGATTGTGTTTGTTTTTCTTAGTGACTAGATATAAGCGCAGGATATAAAATGTTATTGAGTTGACCTCCAGTCCTCACTTTGGTGTCTAGCGGTCAGTCCAAAGGCATTACTTGTCCTAGATCCCATATTTTCAATCCCTGTAAGTTTTATTTTAGTTTTGTGCTTGTTTGAGCTGTCAGTGTTTATACATTCAAGTAGAAAGTGTCGTTCAAGTTTCTCAGTTTCCAATTCACCATTTGTTAGATATGTGTAGGATTTCTTGTTTCAGGAACATAATTGTTAAGCATTTTAGCAAAAATACGAATAATTTAAAACCTTAATAACTTTATGGATATATATACTTGCTAGGTGTCTGTTGGCTATTAGATTTCAGATTCGGATTTGTGTAGTAAGGACAGAAGGCCTACGGCCTATGTTTTCTAGTATGCTTCTGTGAGTGTCCAGTCTTCCCTTGAAAGCGTCAATTGAAGGTGCGGACACCACTGCTTCAGGCAGCAGGTTCCAAGTATTGACGCGTTGTGAAAACCTGTATGCCACGGGTATTTTGTTCGTTCTTGGCTTTTCTACTCGCCTGCTATGTCCTCTGAGTTGTCCCGATCTAGTGGGAAGAAAGAGAGAGAATAAGTTAGGTCCGAAATCATTTCTCAGTATTCTGTACATCAAAATTATATCTCCCCTTAGTCTGCGATAGGACAGAGTAAAGAGGTTCAGTTTTTCAAGCCGCTCTTTATATGATAAACCCCGGAGTTCCGGAATTGCACGCGTAGCTGCCCTCTGTACTTTTTCTAGTATGTCCGAGCCACCTTTTAAACAGGGGCTTGCAGCCTAAACGCAGTTCTCTAACTTAGTTCTCACTAAGGATGTGTATACTGTGGTGAACATGGTAGTATCTAACTTAGTGAATGTCCTTTTTAAAGCCCAGAGGGTTCGAAACCCCTTAGCAGCGACCTCTCGGCAATGGGCCGTCGTCTTAAGATCATTACGCAGTCACCCCTAGATCCTTATGAGACCGGACTACTGGTAATGACACATCCCCTATGTTGTACTTATTAACCTTTGAATCCCCCAAGTGCATGTAGACACACTTTTCCGCGTTAATAGGCATCAGCCACTCTTTAGACCAGTTTATCATATTATTCAAGTCTGCCTGAAGAGTAAATGCGTCTTTGTCTCCAGCTATTACTCGCCAAATTTTTACATCGTCAGCGTATAATAACATTGGAGACTGTACTATACTTGTAAGATCATTAACGTACATTATAAAAAGTAAAGGACCTAGGACGGAACCTTGGGGTACTCCACTAAGTACTGGTCTCCAGGTGGAGCACTTGGAATTTATTCTTACTTTTTGTCTACGACCTACTAGGAAATCTTTAATCCATTTTAAAAGAGGTCCGGCAAGACCAAGGTTTTCTAACTTCAATAGCAGTCTATTTGTTGGCACCTTGTCAAAAGCCTTACTGAAATCTATGTAGACAACATCCACTGAGTTTCCGTTGTCTAGCGCATTAATCCAGAACTCCCTTCCTATAAGGAGGTTCGTTGTACAGGATAGACCCATTCTAAAACCATGCTATGCCATGTTCAGCAAGTTATTGGTTTCCATAAATGCCGTTATGGTCCGTTTGATTATTCTTTCCAGTATTTTAATTACAACACTGGTGAGGCTTACGGGTCTGTAATTCGATGGAACTTGTCGTGGACCTGTTTTATGTATGGGAGTGACGATTGTGGCCTTCCAGTCCATAGGTAACACACCTTGGTCAAGTGACATATTGAATATCACAGTCAGTGGGGCCACGATATATTGGGCAATATGTCTCAAGATTTTGGGGTGTAGTTCATCTGGTCCTGTTGACTTCTCCATGTTTAGGGTGCTGAGAGCCTTAAGCACATCGTTTTGGTCGAAGTCCACGGTGAGCAGCTGGTTTGTTGACTCTGTATTTGGGTCTGGTTCTTTCTCTAGAGGAGGTTCCTGAGTGAAAACTGCCCCAAAATATTCAGCCATAGCCTCTACTTTTACCTGATCTTCCTCTATCATTGCAGATTCACTTCCTACTTTAATTAGGTTGGGAATCCAATGATGCATCCTTGTTCTGTAGTTTATGTACGAGAATATTCTCTTGGGCTGCTTGAGTGCAGATTGTGCCAGCTGCATTTCATATTTTCTTTGAGCTTCCCGAATTTTCGTTATACACTCGTTTCTTATCGATCTGTAGCGTTCCATCGTACCTGCTGTGCCAAGGCGGATGGCAACATCCCAGCATTTCTTCTTTTGTCTCAGTAAGTGTCGAATATCCCGCCCTATCCAGGGATGTCCGTGCTTCTTTTCCTTTGGGACAATCCAGGGTATGTATGGTTGAGTTACCCGATTGTATAACTGCCTGAATAGAGTCCATGCCTCTTGTACTGATGCCTTTGAGTCAATTTCCCAGTTCTCAGCCGATGCTGCGGAGTTAATTGCCTGCATATCTGCCTTCCATATGTTAGGACGGGCCGGCGCAATTGTTTGACAAGCAATCTCAGCCATAAATTTGAATAAGATGACTGCATGGTTACTTCTCCCTAGGGGTGGGAGAAAAGCCATTTGGCCAACGTTATCACCGTGTGTGAAGACTAAATCTAAAAGAGAAGAGTTTCCTAAGTCGTATCTTGTAGGATCTCTAATGTGTTGGAATAATGCTAGTCCAATCGAGGATTCTAACAGTTTGGAGTCGAACGACGATATGGATGACCCTACTTCTAAGTTAACCCAGTTTATATATGGTGCATTAAAGTCGCCTACTACAAGGCTTTTACCCCTATTACACCAGGACTTAAATTTACCTAGGAGAAAATCATCTACACATTCTGAACTGCGATATACTGCAACTAATTCAATATCTTACCGTCTACATTTCACCTTACATCTCACCAGTTCACATGTCCCTGAAACATGTGCTACTGTCTCAGCTAATCTTATGGTTAGGGTACTTTTCGTGTACAGAATAACCCCGCCTCCCTTACGGTTTAATCTATCAGCCCTACTGGTTGTGAAACCAGTCAACTGGATTTCACTACCTAATACTTCTGACGTTAACCAAGTTTCCGAGACAGCAATAACGTCCGGTTTTTCTCTATCCACCACTGACTTGAGCTCCGCCATTTTATTTAGTAGGCTGCGAGCATTTGTGTGGCATACCGTTAAGTCTGTGGAGAGCTTTCCCTTGCCACTCAGAGTGACGGGATCGTTTTGTTCCGAACTTTTACAACTTGAAAACCCTTAAGAACAAGGTTTCTTTCACCGTTTTGGCGACGTTCATTTATTTCCGCTTCTGCAGCTCGTCTCTTAATACGATCTGCTGGGCGGAGATCCTCACGGACATATATTCCGGATCCTATCAGGTTCCTTTCTTCCACCGTGTTGAATGTAACCTTCAGGAGGCGGTTTTTCGGAGGACTTTCGGAATCCACCCTTTTTTCCTATTCTATAAAGCTTACAAATACTGACTCCTGAAACTGTATCTGGGAGTAGTTTACTTAATGATGTCTTATTATCGTCCAGTCTTCAGTCTTCATTATTAAAGATAGGTCTATCGACCTATAGTAATTTTTGCAATTCATAATACTGTGGAGGTCGCCTTGTATGTATCAACAGAAGGCGCTAATATTGCGGCCCCATACATTTCCTCGTCCAAGTACTGAAATGACTTAAGAATAAACCATAAGACCCTTAAACCTTTGACAGCAGCAGCCTTGCAGTTACTTGTAGTTTTGAGATCGACTCCTGGAATTTTATTGTCCATTACTCTAGGTAACAACGGCAAGACTCTAATTTATGGACGAGCCAACCAGAGGCGTTTTAGAGATTTCAAGGTTACGGCGCCAACTTCAGTGCTTAATGCTAACGTGTATCCACTTTATTTCCTTGGTTTTGTATAACATATTTTTACTCTATACTGACTGTTTGCTGATTGGCTAATATTTCTCAAGGTCGCTTAAGATTCGTTCAAAGGTCGTCCATAAATTAGAGTCTCGCCTTAACTTCTAATGACCATCTACCCATCCATGCACCAGTGAATTTGGGTTATCCTGCAATATTGTTCTCTCTGACAGTGTGTATGGGTCTCCAAATCTTTATGTCATCTGCGAAGGGTAGAATAGGTGACTGCTACATTTAGTAAATCATTTACATAAATTTAAAAAAAGGAGGACCGAGGATTGCACCTTGAGGAACTCCGCTTTTTACAGATTTCCACGTTGATAAAGCCCGATTTTCAGTTGCCTATTGTTCCCTATCATTGGAAAAGTCATTTATCCAATCTGTGATTTCATAATGGCCCCCTAAACTTTCCAGTTTTAATTTAAGGCCCAGATGAGAGACTTTGTCAAAGGCTCTACTTAGATCTGTGAAAATTACATCTACAAGAATATTTTTATCTTTCGCTGCAGCCCAATCTTTTCTTGCAATGAGTAAATTTGTCAAGTGTGATAGGTCTGTGCTAAAACCATGTTGTTCCTTGGATAAAAAATTATGCACTTTCACATAGTTTAAAACAGCCATCAGAGTAATCTTTTCCATTAGTTTGACAACTACACTAGTTAGACTAACCGGTCGCTAGTCACTAACCAAGTCCCTGCTCCTCGCTTTATAAACCTAACTGATTATTATATGTTCCAAGTCTCTTGGCAGCCTAGACTGCCTCAAAGACATATCAGACAGTATGGTCAGAGATTCAGGCATTACATCTGGCAGGGCCTTCATAATCAGGAACATTGGGCTTATCTGGTTTGAGGTGAAATCGTAAGACAACTACGAGATCCATCGACGACTTGGCATTATCAGGATTGATTATCGGTCTTTCACCATCACCGGTCAAAAAACTACTAAGATATTCTGTTTCAGCTTTCGCAACATCACTTTTTGCCATTATCAATGGGTTTTCTTGTAGCGAATGTTGTGGGATCCCATCACTTCTCTAGGCTCACCTCTTTATATACGAGAATAACCTATTCGGACTATTTTCACATTTTTTAACCACTTGTTTTCCATATGAATGTTTAACCTTTCTTAACACTTTTCAAACGTTTCTAGTTTTACAGTGAATGAATATGTACTGTTCGGAGCCTGTAGAGATAAACATACTCCAATGCCTTTCCTACGTCTAAGAAAGTTCTTTACCTGTTTGGTTATCCATGATAGACAGTTTTTGGGTCTACATGTTACTGAGCATGATATAAACAGGGGCGTAACTAAACTAAGCTTTTAGGGATTCTAGATCCCCCAGAACTCACTTGGCAAATGTCTTATTTCTGTAATTTTATTTTGGAAATTTGAATTTCGAGCCAAAAGCGCCCATTATCACATTCATATCGTATTTCCTACTTGGTAGGACCTTAAATGTAATTGGTTCGTTGTCTCTTTTGATATGTTATTTTGTAACGTTTCCCGATGACATTTATATGTTGTATATATGTACGCTTGAGTTGTGCTTTTTTGTTCGTGCTCCTGGCTGCTTGTGGAATACATTTTTCTCCTGAACCTGAACTTCTCTCTTTAGTTAGCGGGGCTGGGACACATCGGAATAGTTAGCTTATCTGGTCATTGTGTCACTGAGTCTTCATTTCGTTCCCAGATTATGTGAACTCGTAATCTCTTCAAAGATAGTATAAGTGTACCTTTAAATATAGACCATGCCTCTTTAATTTACAAACTAGTATTTACTGACCAGTCCGTTGTTGCAGCGCACTTCTAAATTGCTGATATGTTTGCTCTCCACTTATTTGGGCGAGGTTTAACCTGATCGTATATTATGTTAAGCTTTAAAGAAGAATGATAAAAAAGTGTGATTGCTATTTGCTAGTGGCGGGAGAATATTTAGATAGGCAGTATCCTCAGTTGCATGAGTGATTACTAAGTCTAACTAAGAAGATCCTTGGTTTGGACCAACACGTGTGGGTTGGGGTACACGCTGTACTAAAAAAATGCTCCATTACTGTTATCAGGAGCCCACCATCGAAAGCGTTTATAGATCCTACGATGGCCACCTCGGCCCAACTAATATCAGGTGCATTAAAATCTAGTATCACACGTCTGTTACTTTTACTTTTTAGCTGAACGTGTTTCAAAATAGTCATTAGCTGAACAGATTGGGCTACGATTGATGACACTTAGTATAAGTATACAACATTCAAAGTGAGGCCACAGCTAATGACTTCACAAGATCGACTATCTTGAGATTCAAAAACAAAGGAAAGAATGTTTACGTTATTAGCTATGCATATAAGGACCCTACCCCCCCCCTCATGGACTGGTAACATATCATATATGTCTACTCCCAGTCTTTCTTTAACCCATTATTTGAACAGGTAGCTGCTCGAGAAATGTGACTATAGTTGGGCTTCGGTATGGCTTTTACAAAACCAGAACATTTGACCTACTTACGTACATATGTGCAGCTAACCCCATGACCACTAATCGTCAACCTAATAACTTTGTCTCGTCGCGATCCCGAAAGGCAGCTTGAATTTTGTAAGATCAACCTACTTGAGATGAGATGTTTAAGTAGTCACAAAATAACAAAACTGCACAGCAGTAGGCTATATACCGTTATGAGATTGGGGCGGAACCAACATGCTCATATTTATTCCGTTACACCTCTCGCTTTTCACTTCTTGATATCCCGTTGTTTGCAACCTTTCCGCACGTATGTCTGCTCTGCTGTGGGGTCTTTTTACACGGAAAGTAAGTCAATGAAATGCATTTGAATGTTTCTTTCATAAACTTACCTCAAAAAACTAGTAATAGCCTCTGTTTCATCTGTGTTATGGAAGTTTATTGATATTCATGAGTACAGATTTCAACCATAATGGTTTACGCTACTTGAAGTGGTGACTAGTGACTACAATTACCAAGTTCAAATCTTATTTGATTTATTGGGAATCGACTTTAACATTTTTGTGACGACAAATACTTTGTTAGCGAAATTCACCTGCTGACGAGGTTATTATTTAGTGGTAAGATATTACCATCTAACCTTCACACTAAAATTTCACATATAGTTTGTCACTTTCGGTTTTAGGTCTTCAGTTGACTCCTGTAGAATGTGTATATCCTGGAGTATGTATTATCTGATGAGCTAGTTCTAAAAAGACCTCACTAGTTTGTTTGGTTAATACTTAAATCAAGGTAATAACCAATAAAGAAGGATAACTTCATCTCTGTGCTAATGGAGTATGGCAGCTTGAACCGATGTACATGCGTACAGGTTCTACCTTGTGACTGACTGTCGTGGTGAAAAGCTCGTGCGTACTTGTTTTATTTAGAGGAGGGTTAGTGAGCTTATGAATATATGAATAAGTTTATGGATAGGAAAATCCAGTGTTTAAAGGCATTTAAACAGCTACTGAACTGTGGCAATATTTTAAGACAAGTTCGAATCCAACAATTTCGAGTAAGGTCTAGGCGTTTTGCGATCTTCCGTGCTGATGATTGTTATCCGATCATTTCGTTTCTAATTGTGAACTCTAAGTAGTACATTCTGTTGCAACAGTATGTTTGAATTTATTTTACTGTTTGTGATGTGTTCGTTTATCTGCTCTTTTAGCTTCTGTATTGTTCTTGTTCGAGCCTACGGATATCTTTGTCGACTTGATATTTTTATATTCGTGTGGAAGACTCAAATATAATCTCTGATGCATTTAGAATGACTTGTTTTAGTCTGTATAGCGTAATTGTTTTGTTGTAGTGATAAATGAACGCATCAATACACCAGCAAGTTTCAAAGAATGACCAGGTTACTGAATCTTCCTCTGGTGCTGATGGTAATGCTACGGATACGTCCGTTCATAAGACAGAAGATACTGATTTGTTGAACCGGTCAGCTTTTCGAAGGGATAGTGGCTCTCGGTCAACTACAAAAAAGGTTAAAATTGTTGACCCGAAGCAAAATGTGGAGGCTGACTCAGATGATGAAGATTTATTATCACAACCAAGTATTGCTGGGGTCCCTGTCATCGGGGAATCAATCGGTGCTGTTAATTGCGGTCAGTCAAATGACCAACAAGCTTCTGCAACTTCCGCTGACCGCAAGAAAACAAAGGAAGAACGGAAAAAGGAACGGGAAAAGAAAAAAGAGGAGGAAATGCTGAAAAAATATCAAGCGGAACAAGAAGCCAAACAAAAAGTATCTGCGAAATCGAAATGTAGTCGCTGGATAAAACACAATCTCAAGGTACTGATAACTTGAAATTTCCAAATTTCTTGACAGATTGGTGAGGGTGGGTATAAATTCGTTTACCGTGGATATGATAGCGTTGAAGCTAGAAATGTTGCATGGTGCGAATTTAAAGTAAGGCTTAGCTTTTACTTTATCTCTTAGCGTGAGCATGTTGATACCAAAGAAAAACGTCAAGCAATGTTCAGGGAGACGGAGATTATGTTGAAGATGAATCATCCACACATTGTCAGATGTTTTGATGTTTTCAGAGAGTGGATTGATATGGAAGATCCGAACAATCAAATTGAAGAAAAAGGAGTCGTAATTATCCAAGAACTGATGGGCGAAGGGACTTTAAAAAGGTATTCATATAGATTTCATTGATATATTTTTAATATATTACTAGCGTAATCAGAAAGAACTTCCTAGATGGCCAGTGCATCCTTAAATTTCCTCTTATTACACGCTGGTGGCATCAAATTCTCGATGCCTTACGTTATATGCACCATAAAATCCAACCTCCTATTCTCCACAGAGATTTAAAAGCTGACAACTGCTTTTTGTACGGTGCATCAGACGAAGAATATTTAAATGTTAAGGTTGGAGATTTTGGTTTGGCAACTCATGTGAGTAACAGTGGAAGGAAAACTATGCTGGGTAAGTAATGGGTTTTTAAGAGTTACTATAGCCTTCTTGTGATTCCCTGTTTTCCAGTACCGGAAACCTAACGTATTTTTATTTATTCTACTACATTTTATATTTCATTGGTGGCATCAATTCCAAAAATATTACTTTAATAATATTTAAAGCCGAGAAATATTTATGTCCAGTATGTTGATCTTTCTACTGATTGTCTGTTTGAGGTAAATCACTGACGTAAATTGTCTTCAAATGAAAAAATTTCCACAAATTTTCTTTTGCTAATAAAACATGCAATGATTCAAGCGCTGCAAGCACTAAATAATCAATCTTAACCAGTCTTTACATTGCCATGATGATGGGGGTTTGATATATCGGGTACAAGTTAGGCTTGATGGCTTGGTCCCTCTTAGAATACAGGCTGCCGACGAGGGAACTCTGTTGTGAACTTCTCTTCCTAGTTTTGTCAAGTGTTCATATTCTTAATGGTTGCCTTTTTGCCTTTTGCCTTGAGAACTCTAAGTTAGAGCTTACTTTGTGATATAGCTGAATGGTTTATACAAGGTAATTCCTACCCACCCCAGGCGTCTTTTCCTAGCTTCATCTTCAACCGCCAACTGGGTTGTTCTCCGCCATAGTAAATTATTGTTAACGGTCTCTGGCTATTGGGTCCGAAGTATCTCGCGTCGAAAGCTATTTGGTGATTGTGGTGATAGTATTTGAAGTCTTAGCTCCGTACAGTAAAACTTTTAACGTTTGTGTTGGAAATTCTGATTTTGGTATTAGCTGACAGTCCTTTTGAATTCCAGACCTTCCTACCAGGTATGTAAAGGCTCACATCCCTTCCAGAGCTTTGGTCGCTACTCACTGTGTTGTATTTCAGTGTCTTGTTCTTTCTCTTGTGAATGTTGCTGCCTAATGCTATGAAAATCGGTGCTACACTAGCTGTCTTCGTCTGTACTTGTTGGTGTGTATGGGCTAGAAGTGCTAAGCTATGTGCCAAGTCCAAATCATCTGTGTTCAAGATATCTACTATATTTTTTACTTGTCTTGAGATGTGGTTTTCACAATCCAGTCAACAACCAGTAGGAAGAGGAAGGGCAAGAATAGGTATCCTTATCTAACACTAGTCCTCACTTGAAATGCATGTGCGAGCTCCTCGCTGTGTATGATTTTGCAGTGTTTTTTCTTGTCGGAATTCGGTGCAATGGTGATGATCTTTTCATACGCTTCACAATATGGAAGTTTCTATAAGGCTTTTCTCTTCACGCTATCGAGTGCTTGTAGTTAGTAGTTTGTTATATAGCGATGAGCTCTATTCAATTGACTGTTCAATAGTAATTCGCAGTGTCACGCTTTGTTCGGTACATGATCGATTCTTACGAAAGTCAGCTAAGTTGGGCATCTACTGAATCTTTCATTCAGTTTAGTGACACTCGGTTGAGGATTTTATCAGTACTGACAGCAGTGTGATCCCTCTGTAGTTCTCACACTGAAGATCTTTCTTCGGTATCGTAATGGGGTATACCTGTTTCTACTCTGTTGGGGCTTTTTCTACCTCTCAGATCTTTCTTTGAAGAGAAAATAGAACGTTTTCACGGTTGTATCTATATCTGACTTTATTGCTTCAACTGATTTGCTGTTTGGTTCTACTAATTTGTCATTTCTGATTTATCTGATGGTCTTGGTAATTTCTTCACTCGTTTATTTGCTTCTGTATATTTGACCTGCGCCTTATCTTTGCTTTTGCCCGATAGTTGTTGGTTTCTTTTCTTACTTGATTCTTATCCAAGCTGTTTACAGAGGTCCATTCTTTATACTGGCGCCTCGTAGGGTACAGCACTTCCTGGGATTATAAAATAAGTGTTTCTGTATTCCCTTTCTAGTTGCTCTTCGTATTGTTTTCCTCCTCTTCTAGTAAATCATGGAAGACTCGGGATCTGTTGTTGATAGCTATCTTTAGCACGCCGAACTTGTTAGCATCTCGAAAGTAGGCTCTATTAAACTCTTTTACTGCTGCTTTTCTATCTATCTTATGCTTCCTTAACCTATGTTGTAGCCTGTTCACTGCTAAGTGTTCTGAAGCTATGTGGGTTCTTCTCTTTTCACTTATGAATCTTCTGAATTTCTTATTCATGCATATGTGGTCAATCTGATTTTCCGTACTATGGTCCGGTGGAACACAAGTAGCTTTGTGTATAAACTTATGGAGGAGACGGCTATCGCCTATATTTCGCCTGATATTCTTAGTGTTTATGTATTTGTTCAATATCTTGTGTGTAAGCTTGATATCCTGTTATAAAAATCAGTCTTTTCTTCTGACTACCGATCTTGTCATTGATTTTGGTTCATTCAACTGTTTGCATCGGTCATTTGGCCTTGTAGGATGGCTTTCACTCGACCATATTATATTGTTGCATTTTATTAGTCTATCAATATCTTGTTTACTTATTTTGACTGTCCTAAAACAGTGCATCATTCTTTAAACTTGTAATGTATAACACTGGGTGCCCAACTAAGTCATATTAGATCATACTGATGCTGTACTACGTCAGGGCATTTGTTTGAAAAACGATAAGAACTGAAATAGATCTTATGTCCACCAACAGAATTGTATTGCGATTGTATAGCTTTGTAGCACCATCGATTTTTTCTACGGTTAGTCGGCATATTGGGTTATAATGCTTATACATGGATTGCAGAATAAAAATTTAGACCCTAACAATAACATACTTCCTCAATTTACAAATCCTGTCCTGGTGTATGGGTTTCAAAAGTTCATACTCGACACTAATAAACCAAAACATAATCCCACATGGGAAGGTCGGTCGTAAATTACTGCATGTTCTAAAATAAGAGTCTGCATTCCAGTTATGTCGTGCTCAAAGCACTTATCCGTTTGCTCCCCACAAAACGCAGAAATATTACACTAGGAGGACCTCTTTACGATCTGTTCGATGAGGATGCTTCGGCTGTATGAGAGGAAAAAACTTGTGTATTCATGATAGGGATATTCATCTTGAAGTTGTCTTGAATGATATGCGGTATGCCACTAAATAACAATGATCTCTGTTAGCAACTAAAAGGAAAGGTTAAGATAGTTCCTCAGATTATGCTAAGTCAACAAATGCTTTAAAACTCATCCTAGCTTTCTCGAAGAGCCATTATGAGGTAATACTACTTGATGTAGATTGATGAAAGCATATGTAATTTCGTCTGATAGGTTTCGGTCACTAATTTCGGTGAGGAATCCTCTTGTGATTATCACAGAAGATTTACCATGATCATTGTGGTGTTTTGCGTATAAGCCTCGATGACTATCTGATGCCCGATTGGAGTTCGGCAACAACAAATACTGGGATATGTTATACATGCCCGCCCACCCTCCATCCTTATGCCATGTGCTGGATAATATCAGGAGATTTAATGAAGTTAGGTAGTGGGAAGACCAAAATATTGCTTAAGGATAAAGTGTAATTGAGAGTTGCAAATATCTGTGTTTGGATTAACGATATTATTGTAATCCATATTTTTAGACTAGGTGACATGGTTGTAAATAGATAATATTCTTCCTTCGTCTCCCTTTAAATATGAATATGATATGTTTACTATTGAATTTTATTAGTTGTTATTGAACTGCATTTCTCATGTTGAGTTTTCCAACATTATTATTGTTTTTCATCTTGTTAGGTTCATCCATAGAGGGGTTTGTTTGATTAATATAGCATCTAAAATACTAGCCTCAATCATTATCGGACGCTTAACAAAGACTCGTGAACTAACCGCAAACACGAGAAAATCAGACTGACTTCAGACCTGGTTGTGGCTGCATTGACCACATATTCACCATTCGTCAGGCTCCAGAACACAGACACGCTTATCGGCTTCCAACAATGATAGTTTTTATTGACTTAACAGTAGCATTTGACTCTGTCGACCAAGAGATATTGTGGCGTTGTCTGTCATTGAAAAGTGTACCTTAGGAATACATAAACCTTGTAAAGGTTCTTTACTCGAACACTACCAGTCGAGTCAGAGTTTATGGCAAACCGTCATCTGATTTCGCAACCTCAAGTGGTGTCCGTCAAGGCTGTCCATTTTTGTTCAATTTCATCATATACCTACTGCTGGAAATAAATCTCGTTGACTAAATTTCTGGGGATCGATCTCCTACCAAAAGGTCCGCTTATTGACTTAGAATACGCAGATGATATAATCCTGTTTGGTGAAGGCGCTGATAAAATACAGAGTATTTCGGTAGCACTGAGCAACAATAAAAGGATATTTGGGATGCTTTTCTTCCCCCTCTCAATGCAAGTTGTTGCTTCAGGACTGGTCTGTGTCGACAGTTGAACTAAGGATGGGGAGTAAAGTAGTCGAACGCGTCGACCTCATTTATCTTGGAAGTCTGATCAGCCTTAATGGATTGTTGTCTGACGAAGTCCCTGCACGGATTGTGAAAGCTCGTTTGGCTTTTGCCAACTTACGTATGACAACAGAGATCAATTATTTATCGAGCTGACAAATCTTGCGTGTTTATTTTATGCATACGAGCTAATGAGACTTAAATATGTACTGATATAATTGGTTTTGGAAAAATAAATAGGTACTTTATAGCATGTGAAGTACATAAATCGTATCTTTAAATTGAATTTCATTCCCATATGTACTCAGTTTAAGTATCCTGTCTTGATTATTGATCAGAGAAAATTACTATTGACCTGTTCTGTGCTCATGTTTTTTTATCTTATTTTGTACAACCAATTTCTACCGATCCTGTTAATTTTACATTCTTTAGGCACATTGGGTTTTATGGCGCCAGAGATTTTTGATGAAAAATATGACGAAAAAGTCGACATTTATGCTTTTGGCATGTTAATGTTAGAAGTGATGACAAATCGTACACCTTATGATGAGTGTGAAACAGTTTTACAAGTAGCAGCTAAAACAATGTCTGGACAGGGTCCGGACATAATGCAAATGGTATCAAATCCATCTCTTCGTGAAGTAATCAGTGCATGTATTCAACCTTTGACATGTTTTCGTCCTACTGCTGATGAGTTGTATTTCCACCCATTATTTCAAGTAAGCAGGAAGTATATATATATATATAGTTGTACACTGTTTAAATTTTGGAAGGGGTTATTTTATTGATGGTAATTTAAGAGTTCGATTTAAGTATGTTATTTAAAAATATGATTGTTCTTAAATTAACCTCCAGCTATTGTGAATACATTCACTTGGTGTTCTATAAAATGTATATGTATGTATTGTCAACTGAGTAGAATTAGTGTATAGTACATATTTCTATAGGAATATTCCAGTTATTGGCAGTAAATAGACTAGATTTGCTGTAATAAGAAATGGTATGTTTGGTTTTATAAAGTCTAAAATACAAAGTTAGAACTATGTGAGCTTCACTAAACTTTGCACTAACCGTTATGGAAGTACCAAAGAAAATTGAGAAAACGATGAAAGCAGATAGTGAACAAAAGGAAGGTAACAGTTATACCTCGATGAATCCAAAAGTTCTTTTTTCAGAAATCATGAACAAAAGAGATCCATAGAATCGCTCCTTGTATAGGGGATTCTTCGAACCACTGAGTAATCTGGTCTTTCGGTTATAATCTAGATGGACACCTAAATTTCAAATAAATTGATAGTATCATTATACACAGATAATGTTTGTAGCTCACATTCAAGATTAGTAAATTTGACATGAATGCCTAATTACATTTCTTTAGGCCTTATCCTCGCGATTGTAATTCACAGCTGAATTTTAATCCAAAACATCTATTCATCATTTTAGGAAAATGAGTTTTGGAAACGCTGTTGTTTCCCGAAAGTTCAATTAGAATTACAAAAATAAATTTATTCTAGTAACCGTTTTGGATTTTTAAACTCTGAATTTCCTCTGTCGCCTCGGTAATATTCACATTTCTAATGGCTTATCTTCTGGATCAAATTAAGTAATTGTTAATGACCATCATCTGCAGCAAAAGCCAATGAACTCACCATTTTGTACTCACATTTGGGTTATTTCCCACTTCAGTGACCATATTGAGGATTTGTACAAATAAACTACGCGTCTCAAAGTAGCGATCACGATTCATGTAGTTAGGGAAGTTTCACATCAAGCGAGTATCTTATGAGTTGATAAGTTTAAATTAGTTATCTTTAAAACGGAGTTATTCAAATAATAGATTGTAAATGTACTTTATGGTAGTTCATACATTCGTGTACTATTTTTTAAATGCTAGAAATATCAAGAAGGGAACGATTCATGGGTATGTGTATTAAGTATAATTTTGCTCGTGATTTATTTGCTTTCTACTCATCTCACAACATGTTTTTATGATTTCTATCAGGTAACACTACGTATAAATCAGTTGTTAGTTAAGAAGTATCCGTTTTTCTTTATTTGATTCATACTGCCAATTATTGTTCCTGTTTTACTCTATTTAAAAAAAATCAAGCCTTTTATATTGTTTTCTAATCTATAGATTTAATGACATAATTATTCTTGATTAATCCCAAGTCTTGTATTTTTGTCCCACTATTTCCATCTTTCTTCCATTAGTTACTTTACATTTTAACTAAAGATTCAGTAAAAATTGATAGCCACTCGTTTTCAGGTTTGACAGAACTGAGTAGTGTCGCAATTCATCTCTCAATTAATTGTTTCAAATGAATCAGATGATTCAAAGAGGAACACTCGGATTACTGGTATCATAGGTAGTTCCATGAATCTAGTTGTAATCATCAATAGTTTTACTTTAAATGAAGATCGAAAATCCTTGCATGGTAGCCAAAAAAAGTCAGCTTGACTTCAGAGGTCTACACCTAATCATAGTTTCGTGAGCAACAGTTTTAAGGTAATGTGCGATTTTCAGATATGGTAGACTTTGCATGTATGATGTTGAATATTTTGTTAGAGTAAAATGAGGGAATTTTTAAAATAAAAAGACTTATTACATCAGTTTACTGATATATTCATTTAATGTCTTTAGAAAGGCAACTGAAATTCAAGGAAAGTGACTAAGATTTTTTCAACTCTTTTTAATCGTAATATAACCTTTCAACACTATTTTCTCGTAGCTTTATGTTCTTTGGCAAGTCACATTTATATGATTAGCTTTAACACTTTTCTTGTTGCATTATTTTTGGCGATATTACACATTGTCAGTATCATTAACGTTCCATAGCCTATTGCTGTATATATGCACATGTGCTTATTAATTTGAATTGCTTTTTGTAGTTGCAAAGCGTCGCATATTTTTTTCAGAATTACTGTTAGCTAGTGAAGAAGATTTGTAGCTCAGGTGAATGATTTTGATGAAGTTTTATTCTCTGAACTAGATGGTTTGGTCGTGGAGCTTTCATCGTTCTTCTGAACGACATCATCAGCACAAACTTCAGATAGAAGTGAAGTGTTCGAATTTCTCCATATGCGTTTCACAGCTTGTTCTGTGTAAATGTAAATGTATCGGTTAGTCTTCAGAATATTTTCATAGTTCTAACCAAATAAATTGGGTAATAGTTGGGACAAAATACAGTTTGCAAATCTCTCCATTTCTAAATTTCTTTATCCTCTTTAATCTACTTCTCAGTTGGTGCATCAAAATTCAGCTATCCATATTCCTCAATACTAGGGTATTATCTCATAACGGTTTCTTAACAGACATTGGTTTACTATTGAGAATTGTCTCGTTGGGTGATTACATTTAGTTCGATTTCGTATAGTGTCAGAGACATCAAACTCTGGCAATGTCTCGTCGGTTATTATTCACTTCTCTGTTTATCTGTTTCTTAAATATTCGCACTACAAATAAAATGTGTTGCAATTTTTTTCGCAGCATTCAATACGTTTGACGAATTCCAATTAAAAATGATAGTAGTTTTACTTCGTATTTTTGTAGCCAAAAACATTACCTGTGGAAGTGGAACCGAATTATGACAATGCTACTGATCGTGCAGAGGTCCTGGATCGTTTTGTTCGTTCTCTTGGTAATCCAGAAACACGTAACCCAAATTTCAACTTGCGATTAAGATTTCGTGATAAAAAGATGTTACAAGAGTTGGGATTAGATGATGGGGAATCTTTAGAATTCGATCTTGATATTTATAAAGCTGAAGATCAAGATATTCCAGATCTGATTCATAATTTGGTTAGTTATTCTTCATTGTTTATGAATTATAAAACGTGCTTTTTTATTTCTTATAAAACCACATTTTTTTCGTGAGTGCAATTTAACAAAACTAATACTTCATTAAATTTCAATTGTTTAAAATGAAGTGTATTATTTTTCTCTCTACATGTATATTATATAAATACATATTTTAAACCGACATAAAATTTATCTACCTGTCTATATCGCTACATGTTTACATGTTTTTTTTTATTCCGTTGGGTCTATTCTAAATTCTGTTATCTATTGATCTATGTTTCACTGTGAATTTTCCGTTTGTTTCGTAATTTATTTTTTATCTTTTTAACACCATTGTGCTCACGTTCTCATACAAATGACTGCGAAGTGGTTCAAAGCACATTTGATATTTTCCACGAAGATTAATTAGTGAATACTGTCAAGTTGATCCGATTAATCATGAAGGATTAACTTGTGACTTTGTATATATCTATCACGTTTGCAAATTATATAATGGTAATTTGCTGAATGATTACTGTTGTCAATTATATAGTGGAATTCCATTGGTAGATTGAATATGTTCAAAGGTATCTTTTAGTTTATAAGGAATCATTCTTTCCTATCTTCGTATTTCTGTTTATATCACTAAGAGTCCAGTGGTATTCATCATAAACCAAATGAATGGTTAACTTTTGTAGTATACCCTAAAATAAAATGTTGTTGTTTACCGGGTTATTATGAAAGTCCATTTTCTTATATGCTATATAATTAAAATTGTGGAATACTAAGAAAATTCCCATATTCATTGAATGTATTTGATCATTTTGCTTGTTAACCCTTGTATTAATTGCTATCATCTTAGAAAATAATCTGATAATGTCTTCGTATATTATTTAAGGAGAACATTTTCTTAGTTAAGTTTTACTTAGCTCAGTTTGTTTAGTTGCAGTCAGTTTATCTATCAATTGTAGTATAATCACTTACCGTAGTGTTATTGGTTCTGAAAGCCTGCTTTGTGATAACCATTTCGGTGTCAATGTATTCATTTTCTTTGATGAAACTACTTAGTAAAGTTCATGCATATATATGAATATATATACTAAGTTCGATGTAGTAACTAATAAACAAGGATAGTACGTCAAAAAAGTTGTACTTCCAAAAATTGTTTAGCACATAATTCTTTTGTGACCCTATTAACGTTTGATGATTTTGATTAGACGACTGAACTAAACGTTGAAGTTGCTTAATTTCAACTACTGAAATTGCTACAAGTATGATTTTCTTTTTAATATCGTCTTTATACTCAGCGCTCCAATATTGTGTAACCATTCGCTCAGAGCCAGATGAAGATTCTTGCTTTGAACCTTTTTTCTTTCGTTGATCCGTTATGATCAATTTCCAAATACCTAACCATTTAGATAAGTACTTTTCAGGAAAGTCCCTTGAATATAAGTATTTCATAAGAAATATTTCTGGAGTGTTCGTACTACGCTATTTCAGATCGCCCATGGATGACTGCAAAACTTTAGTTTTATTTTGTTACTCTTTTTTGGCGAAGAATTCTAAAAGTATGAGCTGACTTCCCACAGGCTTTTTTCATCACATCCCACGGTTTTTTTCGAAGTTCATCCATGTTAAAATCTTTAAGCGAAAGTGATATTATCGAATAAATAATATTTATTTATATGACTGTAATAATATACCTGACACTTGTAGAAAAGTTATAGAACTTTTAAAACATTATGTTTTGTTTCACCGGCTCTTACGATAACCCCCTCGTGTTATTATAAGATACAGCCGATTGTTGAAATCAAATTGTCATAAATTTAATTACTTTTTACAATTTATAGAGACTTGGATATGAAGATAAACTGTGGCGTGTGTTTGAAAATCCAAAGCAACCTGATAAAAAGGTTGTTTCTAGTCATTTAGACAAACTTTTCAGTAGTATAAGATTACAAATGCAATTTCTGGTCAAAGTTTTGTTAGGTAAACGTTGGAAAGCCATTCTAGATTCACTTGTTCAAGATCAACCTGTACGTAAAAAACAAGAGGGTGCTTCCACTATTGATGAAGATGATGAAAGTGATACAGATGCATGTAAGTAGTTATGAATAACTTAGTATTTCTTGAGAATTGAGTGTTCTATATTTACATTTTGGATAAAAAGTATGATATACATGTCTGTTGAGTATGTAGAGTTGTGACTTATTATTCTTGGAGTTCATTTCCCAAATACTCAACCACTTATTCCATTCCATTAATTTTGACTGAAGTGATGCGATAACTATTCGAAACCCAAATTACAAGTTGAGGATATAGTTGGTTAGAGACTCTGGGTGACATGGCTCCGAATCGATCACAATGGCATAGGTGTATACACTTTCTGTCTTCCCTTAAACTATGAGAATAAAGTTATTTCACATCTTTATTTCTACGAACTAATTCTTTCTTTCAGTACTATATCCTTACATAAAATCTCCCGTTTATTTATTACACCATTGAGTTAACTGCTTCTATGAATCCGGTATTCGTTTTGCTGTGCTGATGAGGTGTGGCAGCTCGGACCGATGCACGTATGTGCCTGGTCCTACGTTGTAACTGACTGACTGACGAGGATATAGTTTTATCTTTTTGTAATTTATAGTAAGCATCACTTTAGATGATTAGTGGAATAACATATGTTTCCTATTGTACAAATTTTCTGCTAGTAGTCATCATCTTTGTAAATGTATTGGTAAACATTTAAGCTTCTAACTCTGTTTAGTTAAATATTGCGTATTAGTTATTCTCCAAGCCTGCGATACTAAAATTAATGTATATATATTTAATATGACATTGCATTTGAAACAGTTACGCGTACCGAGGAAGAGCGCCAGATATATATCATACGTTTTATTTTTCGATAAGCTTAAATTTACACGTTGTGAAAGTCACATATAAACACTGGCCCGTGTAAATTAGATAATAGTTTCATCCTGATATACTACTATCAGTTTTACTTACTTACTTACTTACGCCTGTTACTCCCAACGGAGCATAGGCCGCTGACCAGCATTCTCCAACCCACTCTGTCCTGGGCCTTTTCTAGTTCCATCCAATTCTTGTTCATTCTTCTCATGTCTATCTCCATTTCTCGGCGTAATGTGTTCTTTGGTCTTCCTCTTTTCCTTTGGCCTTGAGGATTCCATGTGAGGGCTTGTCTTGTGACGCAGTTGGGTGCTTTCCTCAATGTGTGTCCTATCCACTTCCAGCGCTTCTTCCTGATTTCTTCTTCCGCTGGGATCTGGTTTGTTCTCTCCCACAGTACGTTGTTGCTAATAGTGTCCGGCCAATGGATCTGAAGTATTTTGCGTAGACAATTGTTAATAAACACCTGTATTTTCTGGATGATGGCTTTCGTAGTTCTCCAGGTTTCTGCCCCATACAGTAGAACTGTCTTGACATTTGTATTGAAAATCCTGACCTTGGTGTTGGTTGACAGACAGTTGTTTTGAGTTCCAGATGTTCCTCAGTTGTAAATATGCTGCTCTTGCTTTGCCGATCCGCGATTTCACATCTGCATCGGATCCACCCTGTTCATCAATGATGCTGCCCAAATACGTAAAGGTTTTTACATATTCCAAATCTTCTCCGTCAATTGTGATTGGATTGGTGCATTCTGTGTTGTATCGGAGAATCCTGCTTTTCCCTTTGTGTATAATGAGACCTATTGCTGCTGAGGCTGCTGCCACACTGTTCGTCTTCTCCTGCATCTGTTGTTGCGTTTGGGATAGAAGGGCCAGATCGTCTGCGAAGTCTAGATCATCCAACTGCATCCTAGATGTCCATTGTATCCCGCGCTTTCCTTCAGACGTTGACGTCTTCATGATCCAGTCGATCACCAGGAGAAAGAGAAAGGATGAGAGTAGGCAACCTTGCCTAACACCGGTCTTCACTTCGAACGACTTTGTCAACTGTCCTCCATGCACAATTTTGCAGTGTAATCCATCATATGAGTTCTGTATGATATTGACTATTTTCTGAGGCACGCCGTAGTGTCGAAGAAGTTTCCATAGTGTTGTTCTGTCCACGCTGTCAAATGCCTTTTCGTAGTCGATGAAGTTGATGTAGAGTGATGGATTCCATTCAATTGATTGTTCCACAATGATCCGTAGAGTTGCGATCTGGTCTGTACACGATCTATCCTTACGGAATCCTGCCTGTTGGTCACGAAGTTGGGCGTCTACGCAGTCCTTCATTCTGTTTAACAACATCCTATTGAAGACTTTTCCCGGTATTGAGAGAAGAGTGATGCCCCTGTAGTTATCACACTTGCTGAGATTGCCTTCGGTATTTTGATCAGAAGTTCTTTCCAGTCTTTTGGTACTTGATCCTCATCCCAAATCTTATTGAAGAGAATGTGGAGTATCCTTGCAGTTGCCGCTACGTCTGCTTTTAGTGCCTCCACTGGGATGTTGTCTGGTCCTGCTGCTTTGCCACTCTTGATTTGTCTGATGGCCATGCTGATTTCTTCAATTGTTGGTGGGCCAACATTGATTGGGAGGTCCGTGGGTGCTGCTTCGATGTTGGGTGGGTTCAGTGGGGCTGGTCGATTCAAGAGTTCTTTGAAGTGTTCTATCAATCTGTTTCGTTGTTCTTCAATGTTGGTGATTACCTTGCCTTCCTTGCTTTTCACTGGTCGTTCTGGTTTACGGTGATTTCCAGACAGTTTCTTTGTTGTCATACAGTCGTTTCATGTTTCCTTCTCTTGCAGCATTTTCTGCCGTCGTTGTTAAATCTTCCACATATTTACGTTTGTCAGTTCTGATGCTCCTCTTCACTTGCTTGCTTACATCTGTGTATTCAGCTTGTGCCTTAGCTTTTTCTGCTCTTGTTCGACTGGTATTGATTGCTGCTTTCTTGTTCCTCCTTTCTTGAATCTTATCCAGTGTATCAACAGTGATCCATTCCTTGTGATGGTGCTTCTTGTGACCCAGGACCTCATGACATGTTGAAGTGATTGCCTCTTTGATCCCCTTCCAGTTGCTCTCCACAGTAGTTCTTTCTCCATTGAGTAGATCATGAAAGGCCTGGAACTTGTTGCTGAGGTCTATCTTGAATTTGTTGAGTTTGTTAGTATCCTGAAGAAAGGCCGTATTGAACTTTTGTGATATTGTCCGCCCCGTTGTCCAGTGCTTCTTGAGTTTCAATTTCATCTTGGCGACCAGCAAGTGATGATCTGATGCTATATCAGCTCCTCTGTTGGTTCTCACGTCCTCTATAGTCCTGCTGAACGTTTTGTTGATGCAAATATGGTCGATTTGGTTTTGTGTAGAGTGATCCGGTGAAGTTCATGTGGTTTTGTGTATGCGTTTATGTGGGAATATGGTGCCGCCTATGACCAGCTTATTGAAGGCACATAGATTTGCAAATCTCTCACCATTTTCGTTTCTTTCTCCCAGTCCGTGTCGTCCCATGATGTCTTCATATCCAGTGTTGTCCGTTCCAACCTTGGCGTTGAAATCTCCCATCAGAATGGTCAGGTCCTTTGTTGGGCACTTCTCGATGATTGACTGCAGCCTATTGTAGAATTGATCTTTAGCGTCTTCATTGTAGTCGTTGGTAGGCTCATAGCATTGGATGATGTTCATTGAAATGCCCTATTTCTTTGTTTTGAACGAAGCTTTGATGATCCTTGGTCCATGAGATTCCCATACTATAAGCGCATTTTGCGCTTGTTTGGACAGCATCAATGCAACTCCTTGTGTATGTGGTGCACTTTCTTCTTCATGACCGGAGTATAACAGGAGCTCTCCTGTAGTTAGTCGTTGTTGTCCAACTTGCGTCCAATGTGTTTCACTGATCCCAAGTACCTCTAGGTTGTATCTTCTCATTTCTGCAGCAGTTTGGAAGGCTCTCCCGGTGTCCCACATTGTACGAACATTCCATGTACCTTAATAAATGGTCGCTCTGGTTGTCAGAAGGGGCATCGGCCTCGTAACTTCCGAAGGAATTCGGCTTTCATCATGAGGCGTCATAATTCTTCTAAATGAAGACCTTCTGACTCCCAGGGCAGAGTTTAAAAGATTTGAATAATTTTTTCTGGTTAGCGTTTTTTTAGCGAGTTAGTTTTCTACAGGATGGGGACGCTAACCCCATACCCAACCCTCCTCCTTTATCCGGACTTGGGATCGGCAATAGCCCCCGGAGGGACTCCAGGCGGAGTTACTATCAGTTTTAATTTATTTAAATTATTGTGAACTAATGTGATTAAAAGAGTTATTTAAATGTTTACCTGATATCTTTAATTTAACGAATAATATTTATTTTTCTAGTTTTATTAAAATGAAATAATATAAACATCTCGTTTCGGTCAGTTTATATTCACAGGATTGAATAAATTCTTACATATATTATGCTTACTCCTTATATTTCCAATTTTCTGTAAAAAGTCGAACTTTTTCTATGTTCTTTGAAATTTGTGTTATTTGGAAATTCTTTAGTAATAATGTATTTTATCTTTTTTTTTATAAAAAAAAAACAATATACAGATGATACAAGTAGCTTCACTATCATTGGGAAGTATAAGAGCAAATGGAACAGAGCTAAGAAGTTATTAGAGAAAGAAATACAAGCTTATAGAAATTCTACTATTACTGTTTCTTCTGCTAGTTCTTCAAATGTTATATGCAGTGCAGTTAATACAATTGCACCTACATTAACTTCTTCAGTTACTTCTACCACTCCAATGCTTGCTGTAGTTGTGTCTCAATCGAATATGGATACGATGCACAATCCTGTCAGTGCAAGTGGTGTTGGAACTCCTGGACAGGTATCTATAGTCCTTCCTAGCAAAACCATATCAGAACCAGTTGATAGCTATTACTCAAATCCTTATAGTTCACATCAAGTTTCTTCCACAGGTCCTGGTTTAACATCTATTGGTAAATTTACTGTTACGGTTCCACCAAGCGCTACAGCTGCTCCAGCTACTCCTAATGTTCTTCCATCTTTGTCTGTCAATGGACCAGGACCAACTCCAAGTCCAACACCCATACCTCCTCAACAAAGTGTTGTAATTCAGAAGTCTTCGGAAGTTCCTATATCTTCATGTTCAAATAATTCAACTACACTGTATGCAGCACCTGTTTCTTTGCAAACCGATGTAAACTTATGTGCTCGTCGCCCGATTTCTGACCAAAAGAGTACAATTATTACGCCAAACATATCTTTACAAGTGTCCACTGCTCCACTAGCTGGTGGCTCATCTTCACAACAACCATTGAATCAAAAGCCTCCGCTACCATTTCAATCACACCAATCTATTCCATCTATAAGCACTTCTCAAACTCAATCGTCTGGTTTTGTTCCACCTCAATCACCACTGTTAAAATCCGATATGGATTCTACTCATTTAAATAATTTGGATACTATAGCTCGTTCTGCAATGATATTACAACAAGTACTTCAAGGGATCACATCAAATTCTATAGCCAATCCACCTGTTTCCACAACTGAGTCTTTCTTGAATTCCCAAGCCGTAGGTCATAAATAAATTTATACCATATGTTGTGTTTTTTAGTGATATGATTGAAACCGTTTATCTGACTGTAAGTTATCCAACTATCTTTGTTACTTACTGCACCAAAAATACTTTATCAAGAGTTGATATATCTAGAGTTATAATCATTAAATCCTTATTAACCAACATTTAACGATGATATTTAAGTCTACCATCACCAGGATAAGCGGTGAGGACAACCGCAGCAGATATATCAATACTTAATCTATTAACAAAGTTATATCAACATTTTATGGATCTAAACTGTTCTTTTTGTCTTTTTAGTATTCTGCTTTTCATTTTAATATCAATCTCATTTTGTCTTATTGTTGTGCTGTTTTGTATTTAATAATATCTTTATTACAAAGTTACTAAATTATCTCTACATATTTACATAATACACAGTCTCGATAACCAAATGTAGTTTTTCATGTTCATGATATTATTACTAGGAAATTCAGTTTTTTTAGACTATTACTACTAGTCTCTGTAAAACAAAAACTTTCACTCTAATATGTATTTCTTCATTGAAATCTGGGTTTGATCATCTATAGAGTTTGTGTTAAAGTTTGGAAAGTCCTAATTGTGTAGAGGGTTATGGGTTCACTATTTTGAAATTATTCGAATTAATTTCATATTACTTTTATGCCTGCATATAGTCGAAATAAATGTAATATATACATGTATACATTAGCAAATTGTGAGTTTTGTTAGAGTCTTCGTTCTTCTATTTGCCAATCTTATGAAATATTTGTATCGATCAGTTTAATTTTCGCCTTTTATTTTGTTCTTGTTCATGTGACCATCTTACATTAATCGTGACTTCATAGTTAAATTAAGAACATTAGTTAGTCTTATAAAAAGTTATTCCTTTTAAAATCCATGAATAAACGAATGCTTCTTAATGTTGATTTTTTCTTTTAGGAAGGAGCAAATCAAAATCATCCAGTCAGTTCAGTTTTTGCACATCCTATTTTAAGTGATAATCAATCAGTGATACAACAATCACAACATCCTACTTCTATAAAGAATCAATTCCAATCTCACGTTGGGACATTGAACGTGAACGATGTTGGTACAAGTTTACAAACAGTAACGCCCGGTTTAGGAGGTATTCAACATAGTAACTCTGCTCTTCAAAGTAAAGTTCACTTATGACTTAAGTATTGAGTTCTGTACTTTTGATAAGCACTGTTTATCAGTTATGTCAGTTTGTATTTTATTGTTATTGAAGTTGAATATTTTGTTCTTACCTAGTACATTACTCAAAAACATAAATTTCCGAGACTTCAAGGAAAAGTTCAAAACCTAGCTGTATCTTTTTTTAGTTTAGTCTGCCAGGTAGCATCATTAGACCTCATTATGCCTTAGAACCGACTACATAAACTTGTATTTCTTAAACAAGATGTATTTACATTAATACTTTAAATGCGAATTAGTGTTAGATTTATTATCAGTTATAACCAACCTAGAGACTGGCACAAATGTGGATTGACCTAAGTCACCACATCATGACTAGCGCGAGTTTAAATTAGCAAGATTAATGGTAAAGAAGTCCAAATAATGTAGCAGCGATTTTAATGAGACTGAAAATTGAAAAAATATGGTTTGAAAGGATAATGAAATAAGTATGTTTGAGGGAATTCAGGATCTTAAGTAAGATAAAGAGTGAATGTGTCTGCGCCACTGTGATCGATTCTGAGGTTAGTTTTAGAGTTTAGTTAGTCCGGTTTACCGTGGTACGAATTGTCATTATTATACATTCAAAAATATATGTGATACTTACTATTATACATTTTAAGGTGGAAATATGTCCTTTATTTTTGCATATACATACTATTCAAGATGATATATTTATAATCTGTTTAAAATTAAAACATAAAAACCTACAAATGAACCTTAATTAAGAATATTTGATTCTATTCTTAGCCATCGTTATACAAGTTTTTTTTAAGATCTGATAATTCAGTAGATATTTCCCAGCTTTATTCGTAGCATTAAATACCAGGTGGGTTGGAAATAAACATAAATTCATAAAATTGATATGGTACAGTCAGGCCAAAAAATTATTCTCTTTGATTGAAAAGTTTTTCAAGCACTTTCCTGCATGTTGGCTGGCTTCTGTCTAGGATGATACATACCTAGTCCTTAACCCTTTAAAAGGGAAATTTGGTTTGAGTACTTCTTAAAATGATAGAATTGCGTTTTCCTGAAATCTTGTCAAAAGTTGATATATATATATATATATATATATATATCATCTTTTTACATGTCTTGTTTATTTTCCTGTTTTAATTCCTACTTTCCTTTTGACCATACTTTTCATTGGGTTTGAACTTCAGTTATTTTTGTGCAGTCTTTCTATATGTTTAAATGTTTTAGGCAAGTGTATTGTGTTGTTTTGTAAATACTTTATGTTGACATTGTTTGCTTTTTTCTATACTCCAGTTTATATCATTTGCTTGACATGATTTAATGGTGTGAAAATCTTGAATTTATCTAGTCGCAGTTGTTTCGGATTCATAACTTATCAATTTTATTATTTATATATTTGTTAAAAAGAAATAAATAGTATTGATGCTTTTTATCAAATAACATGTTATTTAACCAATCGTACTGCACTGCCATTTTTATTTCCGTTCATAGACATTACTGTTTATATTTACCTGTAATAAACTTGACTTTTCATCACTGACTTGTTGACTTGATCTCTACCTCGTTTTCCACCTCAGCGCAGTCGATCAGGTGGTATCATTAGTCTCTGTATAAATTCAAATTTGATCTGTTATTACTAATTTATTCTACTTTTAGCACACACGTTTATAGTATATTTGACTCTAATGTGCTCTCCATGATATTATGTAGTATTTTATTATCAAAGTGCGTGTTAAATCATATTTTCATTTTTTGTTTTGTAATCATAGATGAGAATTTTGTTCAGTCAGAATCTGATCCTCCTCAAAAGACTGATGTAAGTAGTCTACCATGATAAATGTTTTTCATTATTATTTTATTTATATCTAAGAACTTTCATAAAATATCTACCCAAGATACATTATCATACAGTCATTTATTGTTATTATTTTAATAAACAGAATAAACATTTTCCACATCACTTACGGTGAACAATGAATGAAGACGATAGCTATTCAATACGGATAGATTCCTTTCTTGCTGTAGAACTTAATAGATCCTACAAACAGGATTAACTAGATGTACAAATATAACATATAACTATATTTGTAGCATTTTTAGAATTAAGGCGAAAAAAAGCTTATTGAAATAGAAATAACTCAATAAGTAGTTAACATTTTTTAACAACGGTAAGAACAAAAAAGAAAGCACCACTTTAATGTTGTACAAAAATTATGAAACAGTAAGTTTTTAAACAATTTTTGAAGGATTTAAATATCTCAACATAATTCTCCTTCGTTGTTTATCACTATTTTCAATTATTCCTGTTTTAGTTCGAAAGTAATTTTTTTGTTATATTTTAAAACATTTTTTTAGCAATCTTCTCTACTGTTTAATTCAGAGCATGCCTCATTGATTAACCAACTTACTGAAGTTATTAACAATGCTACTGCTCAAAGATTATTATTAAGTGGGAATAATTATATATCTTCTATGAATGCTTTGTACAACGATGCTCAACAGTCTCAACAGCCAATCTTAAATAATCAAGTAGCACTGTCGAACTATCTATCGAGACAAATTTCAACACAACAGCAAAATCAGTTGGAAAATGTAACGTCTGTAGTTAAAGTGAGTCATTAGTTAAACATGTGAACCATTAGATGGGAACATAGTGATCTAAAGATATTGCACTCATCCTAAAGCCTGAAGGTACTGGGTTCAGTCTTCAGCGGGATCGTTCATGCCACTTTTACATAACGTTGTGCTGAAATGAGACAGCTATCCAATGCTACTTGTTTTTCAACAGTCCATAACGTGAACTCAGTCAGTCAGTCAGTAACAACGTAGAACTTCGTACGTACGTACATCAGTTCGAGTTGCCACACCACATTAGCACAGAGATACAGTTGTCGATTCAAATCCCGTAGTGGTAGAGGTAGCAAGAGTATAAGCAGTAATCGGGAAGATTAGAGTTTGGAGATGTTATTTAAAGAGTATAATCCAGTGAAATAAATTTGGAAAGAGGAAAAAAGGGACATGGAGAATTCACAAGATTAGAATCTAGGAGAACACAGAGAGTGGATGCACCTGCGCCATTGCAAACGATTTTGAGCCATGTCATTCAGGGTCTCTAACCATCGGTTGCTATCATCTCGCGGTCCCCAACCAGGTAGTCCACACCTACCAACACGACTCAGTCCACTTGTCAGTGACTTCATGGACTTGTGCCATGTTTTGGTTTGGCCGCCCCTAGCTTTCTTCCAACCTACTCCTATACCACTGAACATAGCACGTCGAGACAGTCGGTGGTTGGGCATACGTAACACGTGTCCCAGCCATCTCAACTGATGAAGTTTCATCACTTCATCAATTGATTTGCCATCCTTACCTAGTACCCGTTTCCTAACAACTGTGTTACTTACTCGATGGTCCCATGATATACGAGCAATGTTTCGAAGACACCTATGATCAAATACTAGTAGCCTACGGATATCCTTTACTCTTGCCGGCCATGTTTCACTGCCATAAAGTAGGACGGAACGAACTGCTGCGCAGTAAACACGTCCTTTGGTTGATAGACGGATATCTCGCCTACGCCATGAATGACGCAAGTTGGCAAAAGCTAATCGAGCCTTCTGTATCCGTGCTGAGATTTCGTCACACACTAAACCACAAGGGCTGATGAGACTTCCAAGATAAGTGAAGCGGTCGACACACTCAACTACTTCACTCCCTATCACTAGTTCGGGTGTCGATGTAACCCAATTCTGAAGCAACATTTTGCATTTCGAGGGAGAGAATCGCATCCCGAACATGCTTGCATTGTTGCTTAGAGTGGTCAGAAGACTGCATTTTCTCAGCGTCTTCACCAAATAAAACTATGTCATCGGCATATTCTAAGTCAACAAGTGAACCTCCCGGTAAAAGTTCAACCCCTGGAAAGTTAGATGAGGAGAGTGTTTTCTCTAAAAGTACGTCGACCACAAAGTTGAACAAGAATGGGGAGAGTGGACAGCCCTGACGAACACCACTTGAGGTAATCATTTCTGATGACAGTTCGCCATAAGCTCTCACTCGACCAGTTGTGTTCGAGTAGAGAGCCTTTATAAGGTTAATGTACTTCTTTGGTACTCCTTTCAGTGACAAACACTGCCATAGAACCTCACGATCAACAGAATCGAATGCCGCCTTAAGGTCGAGAAATACTATCATTGTGGGGCGTCTGAATGTGTGTCTGTGTTCTAGAACCTGACGTAGTGTGAATATCTGATTTATGCAACCACGTCCAGGTCGAAAACCGGCCTGGTTTTCTCTAATCTGCTCTTCACGAGCTTTGATTAGGCGTCGAAGTATTATTGAAGCTAATATTTTAGACACTATATTAGTCAAACTGATTCCTCTGTGATTGTCACAAGAGGACTTTTGTCCTTTCTTATAGACTGGCACAATCAGTGATTGAGACCAGTCAGATGGGATTACGTCCAGTTCCCAAATCCTACCTAAGACCTCGGTTAATCTCATTGCTAATACTGGACCACCATCCTTAAAAATCTCAGGAGTAAACCTGTCAGGGCCTGCTGCTCTCCGTCGTTTCAGATTTCCTATGGCTTTTTCAACTTCGTAAAGGGACGGAGGACCTACATTAACTTGCCATTCAGGTTGACTAGAGATCGTGGGAAACCGAAGTGTGGCTGAAGGCCAGTTGAACTGATTTCTAAAGTGTTCTGCCCATCGATCCAATCTCCTGGATTGAGAATGAATAATATGTCCATCTTTCTCTGAGAGTGTTTCGCTAACGGTCGGGTTCCTAATTCCGGTTTCCTTAACGAGTCTGAACAATTGTCTGCTATTACCTATTGCCGCTGCCTTCGCTACTCACCACTGTTCGCGATCATTGCGTAGGCTTCTTGTCAGCTTGCGCTTAAGCTGACTCCGCTCTTCATTATGTTCAGAGCCAGGTGGAATGAGTTTCCGAGCATCTATCAGTGAGATAGATGCTGCTGAGATCCAGTGTTGCTCCCTAACCTTCTGGTTTACCTTACTAGCAGATATCACTGCTGTTTCCACAGCTTTTCGGATATCATTCCATGCTGCCTCAGGGTGGGCATCACATACATGGCTCCCTAATTGTTTTCCTAGTTGTTCCTGAAATATACTCTTAGCTTGACTATCATTAAGTAGGCCCCTAGGAGGTTTCCTTGCAGCGTCTTTCCTACGTCCAGTAAGACGCAAGCAAATACGCGCTCGCACTAGAGCATGATCTGAATCTAGGCATGTGCTCCAGAATGAGTGACAGTCTTCTATCGAGCCCCTCCATCGGTGGCTGATAGCGATGTGATCTATTTGGGTCCAACGTTGGGACGAATTAGGGGGTCTCTATGTTAAAAGATGTTTTTCCTTATGTTTAAAGTTAGTATTTGCAAGGAACAGGCGGTTATCTGAGCATAGCTGCAACAGACGGTCGCCGTTATCTGTTCTCTGAGCCACGACACCATAAGATCCACCTAGGTGTCTTTCCTTATCGCTTAGTTTACCTACTTGAGCATTAAAGTCACCGGCCACTATTACTACATCCGAGCGCTTAGCTTTTCGGAGAAGGTCCGAAAGCTTTCTGTAAAACTCATCTTTTACATCATCTGAGCTGCAGTCAGTGGGAGAATAGGCAGAGACGACGAAGAGGCAACGACGAGTGTCCCTATCTTTCCGGATTCTTACTGTTCCGTTTAGTCGGACAGCGCACAAACGACTGTCTACTGCGATCCACTCTAAGAGAGCTAGTTCTGCCCTAGGACTCAATGTTATACCTACGCCGGCGAGGCCACGGGAAGCAGAATCAGGGCTTCCAGATACACGAAGTGTGAATCGAGTCGGTTCTTTATTTTGGCATGGTGAGGTCAAGTGAATGACGCTACTTGGATCCTGTATGCGCGTTTCGGAGACGCAGCACACATCGATGGCGCGAGAATCTAAAGTTTTAGCTAAGGAAGTCTGCTGTCCTATTTGGCAAAGTGTTCGTACGTTAAAAGCTCCTACGTGTAGTTTAGAGAGTGGTTTCAGGAGACCAGGAATGGCGTTCCACGTACTCAAATCGTTTGCCCTAGCGGTGCGAGGTGATAAAGAGACGTGAGGAGGGTTAGTCGGGGAGATAAGAGAGGTATTAGGAGGTGTAGGAAGGATTTGAATGTGACCAACTTGGTCTCGTGTGCTGTTACGGGTATGAGGGCTGGTGTCACTTCCCGGCTGCCCACACCGTGGAAGGGTATTTCTTGAGGAACCTGAAAAGGAAGTTGGATTAATGTTGGCCTTAACGACCTGGGAACGTGACCGCAGAACCCAAGGGACAACTGCTTGAGGCCGGTCGCGCACGGCCTTTTTGTGGAAGGTTTTTGACGTGTTAGCTCCGTTCTTCAAAGGGCCATACCGCCGGAGACGGAAATCCGTGAGGTAAGGTGAGGTGTGACATTTTTAGGGTCGACCTTTTCTAACCCCACCCCTCCTTGTGGGAAGGCAGCATCGCTGTCATGCTGGTTGTCCGAGGGAAACACCTTACTGCTGTCACACCCCTCTACAGTCAGCAGTACGACTTCGCCCTCAGACCTTGAGTTGCTGCTTTTAGTCTTACCGTTCACCAATCGACCTGCCTGGCATGGTAGAACCTGCAGGAACATATGTTCCAGCCAATATAGCTCGGTTGGGTCATCACGATAGGCAAGCCCGACCACCGCGTCAAGGTAGCAGCTTCGATCGGGATAACGTGAACTAACAAAGCTTTGAGCCTATTGTTTCATAAATAATTTTAGATGCCTAATATGTTTCAACATATCTTCATGTTTAACTAACTAATAATTAGTTAATAAATCATTTTTCTCGTATTTCTGTCACTTAATAATACTACATTTCAGATATGTATTTATGCAACTTATTAGTCGAATTCAATGTATTTCTACTCATATGATTAGGTTTTAAAACACGTTCCATAAACTAATTTATATTTAACCAGTAAGGCAATATGATTTGATCTATTTCAAAAGTTCATAAAGATGGCTATATTATAGACCTTTTTGATGATACGGATATGAATACATATGTACAGTTGTTAAAATTGATAATAAGTCTAACAGCTAATAATTTTGTATTATCAACGGCTAATTCTTAACCTTAATATGGATATATATTTCGTAAATCCCGTAAAATAAAGAGATAGCTGCATATGTTGGAACTTTCAATCGTACCAAGATCATGTGTATAAATTAGTTGAGCTGTTAAAGAATATTATCTATTATACAACCCAGATTACATAGTCAATACCTATCTGCGATCTTTTATCTCTTAGTAATTAGAAGAGAAATACAATTAAAACTTGTTGAATGCACATATATTATGACTTTTTTGTTTTTGTTTATTATTTCATCCACTCTTGTCTTAGTACTTTTTTTATTCTACATCCCTGGGTGATCACTTCGTATTTTTAAAATCTATACTTTATCTAGTGTGCTTTTACTCCTCAGTAATTTATAACTTCATTGTTTAAATATTACTCACAATCTTTTCTGCAGTATCTTTAATATAAATCTAATTGTTGGAATCCTGAACATATATTTAATATTTATACCGAAATATTACTGTTCTAATTCATACTGAGTATTATCAGTAAAGTTCTGATGGTTTTTAACATCGCGCTATGTTTGTGATAAAAAAATTAGTTTTAAGGCTGATCTATAATGATCAAAGGTGGTTTATGTGGCGTGCTTTCAAACCCTTTGAGTCTACATGTAGTTCGTGGACACTGTTGAAAAGGTGAAATACATGTTTGTATCCTAGCTAAAATATCGCGTCCTTATCTTTTTATTAGTTGCGACAACAAGTTGACGTTAATAACCATTAATAGTTTCAAAACATGAAGTTAACTGTTATTTTACTGATGTGTTGGTATATACAAATTTGTTTCAGTCCAGCAAATAAACTGGTGCTGTCCAAATGGAATATGTTCCATTTAAACTCTAAATCAATTGCTTGCTGGATATTCAAGATAGTTATTATGCTACTTCAAATTGAATCTATATGTTTATAAGTTTATGAAAAACATAGTGGTTTATGAATAGATTCTTTTATTCTTAGAAATAAACCTCTGAACAACTCTATTGGGCGTCTGATCTTTTATGCCAGGTTAATCTAATCTTGTTTTGTAAACTAAAAATAGACACCACTCTGTATAGCATCGTTATAAGCTTACACACAATGGCCTTATATCATGGAAATAAATGATTAGTGCATTGTCGTATTTTTCTACTATTTTTATTACCAGTGTCCAGTTATGTGATACATTATTGGGGATAAAAACCCGTGTTTTAGATTATATCTACTGAAACTCTATAATGTTAGATAACCAAATAAATTTATTCGAGCTTTTTTGTACGATGAATTGGCATTAACTGAAGAACTGATGGAAGTAGGTAGTACTGGACACTTGTTCCGTCACAGTTTGATAATCCTCGAATGGTTGTTTGAATCATCGCCATGAAAGCTGTTTAATTTGAACTGATGTTCTTATAGGTTTTTTTGTTTCCTCTTTGAATATGGTTTATGATAATATAGCGAAATCGCACCGATTTTCTTACCATTTTTTTTTTACTAGTTTATCATCCCATTTAAACGATATCACTCATTTACTGCTTTTCATCCTTACCAAAACGTAATGTTTTATTGTATAGTCAAGCTAATGAAATATAATTGTGTCCATTTAAGAAAAAAGTCCAACAAACTCATTAAAATAAAAGAAAAAGTATAACAATCTATATGTCACTCTTTTTAGCTCATATGACTGCGAATGTGTTGCCATAAAATCAATGTATTTTTCATTTTTTAATTTTAAGGAAAGGCAAGTTGTTAGTTTTAGACACAAATCATCAATTCATCTGCCTCACACATCGTTGTTTATCAGGAGGGAATCGGACCTATTATTATTATTATTAATAATAATAATCTTCGATAAACTGAACTATATGTCTTCGTAAATGGGGAAACATATATCTTGTCATAGTACTCAACCCTCACTGAACTAATTTGTAGAATGTCGGACGAATATGTTTAGATTTAAGCAACTATATTCTTCCTTATGTAAATGATTGTGCACTAAGTAAATTGTCCATTGTAACTCATCAAATGTAAGTTTGTGTACTCTACATGTAACTTACAGGTTTTGGTACTGAGGCTAGTGAGTTGTATTATCCGGCTGCTAGAGGTGGGATCTTCGTAATTATATTTCATTATTTCAAATCTTATGAAAATAGTTGATTTATTAAGCAAATTGATTGTTTGTGCAAATAGACCGGAAAAAAATTTCAGTATTAATCTGAGCACCACCTACACTTTAAGCAAATCAGAAAAAGTAGGAAATCAACACCTCTCTGAATATATTTACATTAAGCATGATAGAAATGAATCATCACAAAATAATGGATGAAACAAATTATACTGTTCGAAATCCAAGATCTCATAGTTCAGTGATTGATTCCAAAGCATATCACAGTGTTTTTAACAAATGTTTTGTTTTTTATTTCAAAGAACTCGTAGAAAAAGTTTAGACTTCTATACAGGATTATAATCAAAAGTTGTTTGTTAAACTTATTTAAATTCGTCGTATTTTATCAAACTTCAATAATACTTAGCGGATCAACATCAGCATCACTTCATAATGCTTTCAGGTTGTGGACTACTGAAAATTGGCTATAGACTTCTTGAACTATCCATATAAATGTTTTACACGACGTTGCTGTGACCTCCTCTGTGGATCGACGATTTTTATTTAAGTAGTAGTTCACAAAATCGTCATTAAGTTACCCCTGTTGTTTAAAAAAATTGTGCATATAGTGTAGTCGCTCTAGTTGATTAAAATAAGTTATTATTGATCCTAGTGTTCACTCACATAAGGTTCACCACCAAGTTTTCCACAGGTTTATTTGTTTTCCATCAATGCAGTAAAATGTCTTCAATATAACCCTTCTGTATTTATTGGAATTTGTATAAATGTGATCAGCGTCATTAACTTTCACATATATAATATAAAATGCTTGCCTGTTTGTGATTGCTGATATGTTTCCGTTTTAATCTTCTCTCATTTCTTCAACTTAATTTAGCAGGAACTAATAGATTTGATTAGTCTGAAGATATCCCATATATATATATATATATATTGTGACGACGGACCACGGATGAACTCGAGGAAGCTGTAGGAGGCTCGAAAGGAGCCAAAGACATTCCATCCAATCACCTTTTGGAAGAGCATTCTAGAATTCCTAGGTGTTGATTTCGTTCGTACTAAAAACTATAAATACCCGACAATTTTGTACTATAATTGACACTGTCTGGGAATAATATTCCTTTCATTAATCTTCTGTCTTCTCATTGAGACTTGGAAGGGTTCTGGCGTTCTAGTGGTCACGTTATGCGCAGTATGTCAAGAACAACCTTCTAGATATAACATTATATATATATATATATATATATATATATATATATATATATATATAAAGTGGTTTTAATACATTTTATCATTAAATCTGGCTAATATTCTCAGTACCTTCTCTTATATCTCATTTATTACTAATACTTCTAATTAGTTACTAATTGTATATTTATTCCTTCTTTTTGTGCTTAATATATTATTTTGTAGCCGACTGAGCGTAAAACAAGAAAAAAATCGAAATCGAAACCACGGTATATTTTACGCGTTACTAAAATTGAACGAGATTCTGAAAACTGTGAACCTGGTAACTTTAGACCAACATTCTACTTAGAAATGCCAGATATCAATAATCCAAATAATGAACTATGGAAGATAACTTTTCGTTGTAATTTATCCGATACACTGGAAGACATAAAGTTGGTATGTTTTTATGTTTTAATTGGTTTTTCTTTCCACCTACATGTTAACTCCGATTATCTGCATATTTGTTTTCATAGTTTATACATGAGCAACTAATTTCAAATTAGTCCATTACTCAGTTGTAGTCTTTATATTTTCTAATAGATTGTAATCCTTCATATAAGTTTAATTTTTCAAGGTTTATTTGTAGATGATAATTTTCTAATTACTGTAAGGATATTCAGCAGTCGTTTAAATAATTTTTCTTCCTATAAGGGGGAAATAAATGATGACAGAATTTAGTGGTGAGTGTTCAGCCTTCGTTATTCAGGCAACTGTGAAAAATGATATTTACTACGTGGTCGATAGAAATTTCTGTGACTTTGAACAGCTTTTATGGTCGAAATTTTTCTCTATAAACAATGATGGCTGTGAAAATTTGTTTTTGATGTAAACTCCATAATGAACAACCTACAGAAACATGCTATGCTAATAACTGCTTAAGCTACATTATCTCTAGATAAGACATTTTACATCGAATGTATTCAGTAAACACTACAAATACTAGACAAGGTTTTACTCTTTGATCATATGCTTGTATCATGGGTATTTTTTAATGATTAAGTAGAAATGATGAACAACTAATGTAATGCAATATACGATGCTTCACTGTACGGTTTGAAATATTGATATTTACAATCTTCATGAAATGCTTGAAAGCTGTACTCTTGTACCTTGTCCTATAACTATTTGGAATGAACTAAATGTTTGTATTACATGTATAATGTGAAACTTTTTTTCTCTCTGTGTAGTTCATTGACGGAATAAATATTGATTTTTATAAATACATTAATAAAATTGGTTCAAACTTTCAATTGTTTCAGACGAGTCGTTTTTGTTTGTTTAGTATTTATTGTCGATAACTTAACATACACTGCTGGTCCCAACCACCTAAAAACTTACCTATGAATTTAATTGTTGTGTTTTCCATGGATTTGATTCGCAGTTCTTACATAATGGATCTTATCATTTTCTATAGTATTTTCCTATTAATAGTAGTAGGGTAATACTATTAACGATAATAATAATAATAATATAAGTTTTCATAATATCAAATTGTATCTAGTCCTAGTAACCTAAACGTGTGCTATATATATATCAATGCTAATATGCCACCTTAAATTACTTTAATTTACTAACTCTTTTCTTCACATAACACGGTAAAGATATTTAGTAGAACTAAGATTTCGGCGCAAAATAAGTGTTGATAAAGGAAATGTAAATACCGTAAGTAGAAAAGTTTGTAATTAATAAATCCTCCATGTAATAATCATTGTATATTTAAATAGTATGGATTTATTATTTTTATTCTGTAACAACCGTATAATTTAAGGTTATATTCAGTGTCCTAACAATTGATATATTTAATCAGATGTACATATATTCTGTTAGTATGTCGAGATCACTTATATTTGATTTATTCATTGATTGATTTAAACATTTAACTTCTATAGTTTCAAGGATCTGACTATACTCCTGTTAACAAGGATATTGATCGTGCCGCTAAAGAAGGAGTTATGAAATTACTGGAAGCTCTACGTAATGATGTCCACTCTGTAAAGTTGAACCAAGATTATATTTTCTATCCTCAACCATCTAATGTGGGATTTGATCAAATAAATCGTCTACCCACTAACCTGTCGAATGCACCATTCTTTCAATCTAGTGTACCTACCAGCTGTAATTCCACTAATCAATTTAGTAACAGTGGGTTTCAGAATCCGGGTACTTGTTTACCTTGTATATCAACAATACCATATGACAATTCAACGTTGATTTCTAATTTCGAAGAAATTCAACCATTAGATTCTAGAGGTTAGTTAAAACGTTGCATCAAGTTGTTTTCGCGTGGAAAAAAGTTTTCAATTCGTTTAACCAACATTAGATGAAATCCGTTCACATACATGTATTAGCGAGATGTAAATTGGATTAAAGCATTTACTGTGCAGGATTGCGTTGGAGCAAATTGATCGGTCATTTCTTGGCCGATAAGCTCTAGCGGATGATTGAAGAAAACTCTAGAATTTTCTTGTGCAAAACCATAAGTGTACTAACGTTTTTCTTACTGTGATTCTTACTCCCATTCAACTTTTTTATGTGGAATGTAATTACGTCCCTGTTCAACCGTTTTCCGATCTATGGATTAGTTGAGTGAAGTAAAGTGTCTGAAGAATAGTAAGCAATAATACTAGCTGGGGTATTATATAAGAAATCTTAACAACATGTTTGTAAAGAGATTATATTTCTAAAATTCTAAACATGCTTATGGTATGCCACAACCATCAATTATCATTATAGTTTTATCACTTTTCGAAGCTATTTTTCAAGGAGGTATGTTCATCAAAAGACCTGCATACAGATTATATATACCTTGGCATAATAAGATGCAACTGTTTTTTTATTGAGACTGTTCTAATAAGTTTATTTGACTGACTGTATGTATTATATAATAAAAAATGTGTTCCGCGTGGATTAAAGTATCTTATATTGTTTTACTTATTCATTCTCTCTCTATCGACAAGTGGCTTCTTTACACTTTGAGTAAGCCATTTTATTGAGCTTTAAGTTTTGGTGTTTTTTCTATAAGTTCACGAACTAACAGTTTGGTTCATCATACCTTTTAATTGAATTGATATGTAGTGTCCGGTAAATTCACTTTTTTTCTATTTACATATTTACTGGTTTGTGAAAATTAACTCATATTAGTTATTACACTAATACTGTTTCTTGTTTGAAATATGTATCTTTAGATCTGGATGATGAAGAAGAATTCAGTGAAAATTCCAGACCATTGTCTCCGGTCGATAATATAAACCAACCAATCAATCATCTTTTTCATCCTGTAGCCAGTAACCCTGAACCAATCAGCAATCCTATAAATAATATAATCCCTCAATGTATGATGTATTACGCTGCTTCATCTTCTGCTGTTGGGTTACCTACTTCCGACTCCATTAGCAATAGCAGGATAAAGGGTGGTCTTGGCCAAATTCCTGGGAATGTTCCTGCACCTGATATTTCAAACAGTAATTTCGTCACACAATCATTGTTGCCAATGAACTTAAACTATATAAATGATATTTTATCTCTGCCTGTCGGTCGTTTAGAAAATAAAAGCGTCAACCTTTTTAATTGCCAAGCTGGTTTAGAAGAAGTACCCCCTCTCGTTCCACGCCTTTCTGAGCAATCAGGTGCTGCGCTTGCTGGAATTTCAAGATCAACATCTTGCAATGAGTCTACAACTCGTGATCCAGTTATCATTTCTCAATCAGACAATGTAGCTTACCAGTCATATAGTACTCATCCTTTACGTAATATGACAAATTTAAATCATATCTCTACTTGTAATCAGGGTGGGATTGGCAATAATTCTTCAGTTTCTTTCACTCCAGAGGAATTGGTAAATGTTACTGTCACTATTCCCGCCTATCTGGAAACTACTTTGAAGAATTTGGTTTCTAACTTATGTTCAAACCCTTCTCATGCTTGCGTCTTGATACCGACCGTAGAATCTAATGAAATATCGTCTTTTTATCGTTGCTCTGGTATGCGAGTAGTTGATATACCCGATGGACACATGTTTGTTGGTATTCCTGGAAATCGACACATGCCCTCTGGCACCTGTTTACACAGCACATTTCTGGAAACTGTCGAGGGGAACTCGGAAAAACTTTTTGTTGTCGCATCTGATGCTAATTCTGATGGTAGTTTTTCGGGACCTCATATTTACAGGATTCCAAAAGACTCAGCTCTAGTTCTAACTCACACAGGAAATATTCAGTTGTTAGACAAAGCTGCTCTTGTTGTTCCGGTTCGTTCAATGGAGCATTCTCATTCTATCAGTCCACCTAACTCTCCTGTTCACGAATCGGGAACACATCCTGTCGTGTCATCCGTGTATGTCCGAAAGTTACCTATTCCTTCAGACGTTGATGCACTAAGCTTTGATGATGTTCTTGCCCTTTTAATGGCACTACGTGATGCACCACATGGTGCTATGCAATCACATCACTTAAATATGATTAGTACAAATACTGATGGAGAAAATGTCGCTATAGGACCAAACGCTTTACCGTTTGATAATAACTTAGGACCTGAATCTTTAAGCCGCCGATCATCTGCTGCTACGACTGTACTCCCTGCATCACCTAATTACTACTCGACACAAATACAAGCTGTCCCTGCATCTGGAATGAATCCTAACCAGTCGTCATTAACCGTAACGAATCAGCAACAAGTGCAAAGCTCACTTCAGTCTGAGTTAAATACAGCATCCCAGTTTTCAATCCCTATTTCTATTGGTCAACAACCAATTAATCAATTGGCAGGCACAGTTAATTCACGGCTTTCTCTACCTGATCAAATTCAATCACTTATTCAGTCTGTGAACCAACAATTTTCTCTGCAATCACTTCCGTATTCTGCTGTAAAAAGTGGTACTACACATATAAATCAACCAAATTTGTCAACAGATAATATGCAGCCAGTTCAATCTATCGTTGCTCAAAACCAATTATCTTTACCGCTCAAAAATATGTTTTCACAACAACAGTTATTACAGGATCAAGTATTAGTAAACAATCAAACTCAAGGCAATCCATCCTGTTTACCGAGTTTACAGTCACAAAATCAGCAGCAACAACAACAGGCCACCGTATTTCCACAGTCACATACCCAGGTTCAGTCAAATTCTAGTCAATCAAAAGATTCACAACATCAAACAGTTGTGCAACCAAATACACAACAACTCTTACAACTATTATCAGCTCTTAACACTCTACAAAATTTAGACCAGGTATATAGATTTTTTTCATTTTCCAAACATGAAAGCATTAAATCTCAGTGTATTTTTTCAATCATGTAAAATGATCTTTTAAAGGAAAACGTTTCAGTAAAACATAAAACCATGTACCTATACAACTACATTTGTACAAAATATTGGTTTTTAATACATACGAGCCTGGAATAACGTATACATTGATTTAAGTTATACTTGTACTCCTTTGAATCCCGGCTCAGTTGTCTAAAGACTATGTTCTCTCGCGAGACCCAGGGTCTGGGCTCGACACTAGGTTAAGTAAAAATGGGTACTGCTGAGGGCGGAATGGCCGTACAGTTCTTCTGAGTTTCTGATGATTGTGATTTCAATAAAATCTCCTCAATCTCATATTGACATATATGTATATATAAAGATTTAATGAATATTAAAGAGATACTTTTTATTGATTTAATGCCTCTGAATGCTCTGGTACGGGGTGGTGGGTATGGAGAACACCCATATAAATGGTACACAATACGCTCTAGTATCCTGAGGAAGAAAATGACTTTAAACCCATTCTCGGTCACCGGCTACCATAGGACTTCATCTATCGTTGCTCCATTGTCTTGTGAATCAGATCTCTGAGTCAAAGTCTAGAGGAGTGCTTCCTTAAGAAAACCAGAGGGTTGTGAGGAAATGAAATTCCATCCTAGCCGTTGGTTAGTGTAGACTCATATATCATTTTCATTGAGAACCATGTCTGCTCCAGTGTTATGCAATCATGGTTTCCCAACTCCCGTAGATGGATTTGTTGTACAGACTAATATTGGATTAACCTTTATGTTGTGTACTCATTCATCGTCAACTCTGAATAGTGAAAAAATCTATTTTTAATGCATTTGAATTATTTATTTATAATAAATGCAGTTGAATACCTAAGTGTTTAGATGTGGTCATGTATTATCTAGTGCATATGATCGTAACTATTTCCATTATCTTAAGCATTTTAGCAGTACTGTTTGTTTACAACTACCATGATAAAGTGTAGTGATTAGTTAGTCTTTTCGATCTGGAATAAAATGTATTTCATTTTTGCATTTCACTGTTAATTGACAGTCTAAGTGTAACCACTTTTTATTTCATCAATTATCACTTTAGGTACCTCAGTTACTTTCGAATCTTCTAAAGACTTCGAGTCAGTTCGTTAATCCAGGACTTAAATCATCGGCAGGTTCGGGAGCTGTTGGCACGGCTCCAAGTGTTGGTGTAGTTCGACATTCTAGACAAGTTTCTCCTCCAGTATCAACACAACCTGTAACTCTTTCTTCAACTCAGTCTCAAACAAATCATATTCCCCAACGGTTTAATAGTGTTGCGTATCCCTCTGTATCTAATGCAGGAGTATGTGCAGCCAGTGTGAACTCTTTGCCTGATTTATTGGGTCGTTTACTATCCTCTGCAGCTGCCAACTCCGAATGGCTTAATGTCAGTGAAGTTCATAAACATCAAGGTATTCAAATACATCCCTCGTTTGCGCAAAGTAATCTCTCATCATGTGGATCCACTCTGGAAAATCAAGAGAGTTTGAATATTCAATCTGCAGTAAAAACATCGACAGTTCAAGGTGGTGGAATTCTCACATCTCAATCATCACAGCCTAATCAGCAGCAGCAACAGTTAATCCAAATACCAACACATCAGCAGTCAACTCAAATGCAGTCTCAGTTACAACACTCTCAGTTAGTAAGTTCACAACAATCTTCTCAAATGCAACCACATGTCTTACAGCAATCTCATGCAACAATACCATCTACACAGACTCATTGTCAGCAGCAACCGCCTCAAATGTCCGGACAAATTCAACAACTAACTCAGCTGCAGCCAACGCCACAGCCGGCCCAAATACAACAACAACAAACGTCTCAAATATTATCTCAGATACCATCACTTCAGGTACAACAACAAACACCTGTTAATCCTCAAATACAAACACATCAAATACACCAACAACAAGCATCTCAGATTCCATTGCAACAACAAGGTACACAGTCTCAGACACTACAAACATCACAACAACAAAAATCCTCTAATCAACCTCATATCACACAACCTATTGCTGGGCAGCAACAGTTTCAGTATAATTCACAGCAGTGGCAACAACCACAACATTCATTAAATGTCATGCCAAAATTATCTTCTCCTTTGCCAATCAAAGACAGAAATCAACAACAATTATCTTTATCTACTGCTCATTCATACCTGAATCAAATTTTACCCGAGTTGGCAAATGCTATACGCTTAGTCCAACAAACTCCTGATAATAATAGTGTAAGTTTTGTTTAATTTGTTTTCATGTCTTTTCCTATATATATATATATATATATATATATATATATATATATATATATATATATATATACTGTTATTTGTCTGTTGATCGCGGTGTTGGATTGATTAGATCACTATACTTCCATCTTACACCTAAAAGACCTTTACGGTTGTCCTTGCTTATCAATAACTATGAAAATGGTAGATTATAATCAGTGTGGCGATTATGATGTACCACTTAATTTTCTTTTTGTTTATTCAATAAATGAACTGTATATTGATTGACTGACTAAATAGTGTAAAATTATAAATATGGGCCATTTGGCTGACCCATCTATAAAATCCATGACGTTTTAGATTCAGATTTTTACTTGTTTTAATTACCAATTGATTAAATAGTTGTTTTATGCATCGAAATTCAAATAAATATTTCATAGTACTACAATCTGTATATTGGATTGCCAAGTTATTTAAAATGTGTAGTAAAAGAGTTCATTTTCGGTGTTTTATTTTTTAATGATTCAACAAATTATATTGTTCAATGAAATTCTTATTTCACAAACGATGTCTATTTCAGAATTTCTTAAAGTAGACTAGCATAAATAGGTAATCAGTTTATTCGTGGTATCAAAACAATTTATGGGTGAAACTTTATCTACCATCAATATACACTTGCCAAATAAAATAATGCAACTTGTGTTATTTTGCTTGATTCTTTTAAATTCTGATTTTTATTCCCGGAGAAATGATAATCAAGTTATCGATAATGGACCAACATCTTTTCTTTAATACGACTATTATCTCTAGAATTTTTAATATATTGTATCTAACGTACTCAAATTTTGCATAATTTTCTCTTTTATTCCATTCTGACCGCATATGAACAGTAACCAAATAATCGTATCTCACACTTTTTTTGGTTTCTACAATCCAATCACTGTATCATTGGGTAGACTACCTATCCTACTAGTACAGTGAAAACTTATAAGCAGGATGTGTACGCATATGTGAAGATGTTTTAGTTTGAAATGTCCTCATTAAAAATGCCATTATCCGTTATCTTGGATTGTATAAATATTCAATTGTATTTATTTCACTTTTTAGGTATTTGTTTGTAAATCTTTGTTTACAAGCCATTGTAAAAACTAATTATTTAAAAAAAATATTTATCAGTGATCAGTGACCTTATATTCATCTGTAAATTGTAATATATTGTTAATTTTCTAATAAATATGGTTCTAATTAGCTAGGTATTTTGGTAATTAAAAATAGAATTTGTCTGATTTGCCGAAATATTCTCGAATCCATCTAGATCTAATTAGATCAATATTTATTTATTTAAGCACATAAACGTTGATACAAGGAGGCACTAAATATATATGCGCCTCACACATCATTTGACATGTGTGACGGCTGGAATACTGCCTGGGTGCTCAAACTGAAAAAGGTTTTCTTAGGGACCACATACCGAGCCTTCGACCTAGAGGTCTAATTCACAAGGCAGTGGAGTAACGTAGAGAGATGCAGTCCTGTGATGGCCAGTGACCAACAATAGGTTCATACGCCTTTTGTTCACTCAATGTCCTGCAGTCCATGTCCACTATTGGTTTTGAATCAGGGCTTACCAACTTCCCTATGTGAAGGCTCAGTGTCCACCAAACCGGTTAAAGTCCCGGATATTCGCTTTTCGTTTTCTCAATGTCGTAAACAATACCTCAGCCACTGGAAGGCAATAAGTAGGACTTCCCTGGTAATGACTATATGACGTCATTTTGAGTGAGATTGAACTCTCCTTATCTTCAGCCGTACCAGCGCATTCGGGGGCATTAAATCAATAAAAAGTATCTCTTTAATGATTATTAAATCTATTTATTTATCTTAATCCATTACATTGTAAACTCTTATTCTATTTGGTCAACATCTTATTCTGATAGGAACTGCTTACAATAAAATATGATCTATCTTTGATATGTCTCTATCTTTCTTTCTTTAGGCTGGTTTTCTCCCTTTAGATGTTCAGAATAAATTACTCACTCTTCTACAACAACAACAGGTTCAAAACCAACCTCCTCACCTATCAGCTCAAGAATTACCGTTCAATTTCACAGGGACAAATACCACATTTCCTACTTGTGTAGCCGTAAATAATAGTACTAATCAAGTTTTAAATGTCCACCCTTCATCAAGCAGTTCGAAACAGCCTATTCCTTCTAATTCGAATTTCGCTTCTTTAAGTCGGTTTATTGTCACAGCTTCTAATATATCAACGTCTAATCCGATATGTACTGCTATAACCTCCAGTTCAACACATGACCATGTAGCATTACCTGTTGATGTGACTAAAGATATTAACAACGTTGAATATCCCCTTAGTAGTCTACCAACTGAACAGCCAAGCATCACTTCAACAAGGCCTGTGAATGCATCAGGAACAACCATTGCTAACAAGTTTACAGTACGTTGATGTACTTATTATTTCTAAAGGCATTTTATTCGGAATCTGGATGTGTATTTATACTCTAGTTCCTAATGATTTTTACATAATCTCTTTAATAATTACACAGAAAAGGATTTCAAATTTTTTTGACAATTGCAAAAACTGAGGAACTTCATCAGTTGTTTAGGGCTATCTATCGGAATAACTTACTGTGTAGAAAGTCTATTCCAGCTGGATCAAAATTTTAACTGAGGAACGTAATTAATTTCGGTGGTTTATGGATAGGACAACCATCGAATTTCTATGTTGTTAAAAACTTCGAACATGTGCTTTCTCTTTTGCTTTCCCATCCTAGACTCATTGTTGGCGAATCTGAGGAAGTCTGTTCACACGAATCGAGCAAAACTTTTGAGGTCTAGAAAATTGTGTATGAAAATTATGAAACGATTTTGCGGTCGAATTTTTTAACTTTTATGACGTCCAGGAATGTTTTGAACATTCAGTCAGCTACAACGTAGGACCAGGCACATATGTGTATCGGTCCAAGTTGCCATACCTCATGTTTTGAACAAGCGAAATAGGAATAATATAAGTGTGTTGTCATAAACGGGGGGTACTTTAAAGGTAGTATGATTTTCGTGCTCTATAGTTAGTAAAATAAATAATTTCATAACTTTAGTTTAAGTATTTATTTGACAGACAGAGTATGTGTTTAACTGTCAAATGAATCTGAAGCAGTAATTATGTTAGTCTAATTATTCTTTATTTTTCATAAGCGATTGGATAAATGAATGCTTTTTTACTTAGATTACTGGTATGAAATTTTACATTTTTATGTAAAATTCAGGTGGCTCCTGCAAATCTGGAAGATGATGATACAGGTGCTTCGACGATCCCTCAAATATCTGGACCCAATCAATTGCATCAAGCTCCACCTCCAAGACCGCCTAGACAGCAACGTGCCTATGCTGCTTCAGTAGTTGGAGTACACGTAACAAATGATTCACTAGGGCATGCATCGATGGCGGTTAGTGGGACAAATGTCAGTTTGATACCTAATATGAATCAAGCTATGCCTAGTAATGGAACAGTTACAAATGTCAATGTAGGACTTAATATGAATCAGCCTCCGCCTATCGGATCAGCGACAAATGTCAAATCAACTTCTAATGTTTCATCAGCAAACAAGGCAATTCCCTTAAAATATTATGTTTGTTTCATTGTTTTCGTTTATGTAACCTATATGTATGGGCTGATATCGTGTTTCGGTGTACTGGTTATGTATTTCTCATATAAAAATATTCTGAAAATTCGTCAAATGGTTACTAAATTAACGGTCTAATTTTTGTGAATAAGCGTCAGTTTTTCGTTTCGTCTTACAGTTTTGTCATCATAATGATCCATGTCTAGTCTTCTTTTTCATGTGATCAGTCTCTTAAATTCTATGTTAGCTTTAGGGTTTTTATTGACCTAGCTTCTGGTCAATAATGTTCGTGTGTATGTAATTAGCGATTCATTCGCCATTTTTGGTAGCTTCTTTGGCCTGCATGAAAATTTGATGTATTAAATTACATATTATAGATTGCATAATTCAAATGTAGAAGTTTATATTAAATATCCCCATATTGACCAGAAAAATAATTGCAAACTCTAGATTGGTAGTTTTAAAATAACAAATACATCTGTGCATGGTTATTAAAAGTCATATGATACAATCAGTCGAATTTTAAGGGCTATTGAATTTTTGTGAAAGGTTTTCATCTCTTGGTTGTTATTTTGGTTTCCGTGACCATGATATAAGGATATGAATAGAAATTTCGAAAGTCATTTAATTATCTTTAATTGTATCACGTCGTGGTTTTAACATTGTGAAACAATTAACTACCATTCAAATTTATTGTTTTAGTAGATAGTTCCAGTTGTATTAAAAATATCTTTATGATATCTTAGTTTACAGAAACGGTTTAACCAACTCAGAATTCAGTCGACTTAGAATTCTTTATTGTACGCTCTCCATTATCTCTCTTGACAGTCGCCCTAGCTTTTGGCCAATGTAGATACTGGTGCCTTTTATTTGAGAGAACACACTACTATCTAGCCATGTTTGTTTCCACATTATGCATGTTTTCTAACAGCAAGATTCGGATAAGATCTAATTACATATTTTATACATAATATATAATACTTTATACAATCCATACTATATAGTGAATATCACTTTCTTTTCTTCGTGAAAACAAAATCTACTATTATCTTTCTACATCTTGTTATACTTTTCTGTCGTAGCATTTCTTTTATATTACTGTCTTACTTTTATTTTCCTTTAATGATTAAGCTTCAATTGTTTTCTGCCAAATGATTCTTATGTAGAAAAATTGTGCGTAGTTTGCGTAAGGACCTAGAAGCCTGGTGGTCGAAACGTAGTTACAAGTCGGAAGCAGTAGCTGGACCTGATAACTATCGGAAACTCTTTCAACTCATTTGAGTCACTGGCTGCAAGAAGTCTGGTGTTAATGAAACAATCTCAAAAGCTGATAGGATGTGTTCTTCGAAGAATAGTCCCACTGATCTGCCGCCTCGGTGATATCGATCGAACTGTCCTGTCCTTCATAGCCGGTGGCGACTGACCTACCTAAGGGGGTGGAATTTCATAAGGAGATTTGACTCTCGAAGCGCCACAAATCATCGGGCCTTAATGACTTACATGTGGCCTTTTTAAGGATGCAACAACTGTCAAGAGATAAGTTAACTACCGTCTGCGTCCAATCAATTGGTTTCTGTCATAGTTAGCATATTGTCCAAAACCTGTGAAACATTAATTATTCTGGTCGAGGATGTGTTGACCATATCTTCATCTTTCATTAAATGCCAGAAGACCTCCATACTTATCACAGGCCAACAATCACTGTGTTTCTTGACATCAAGGCTGCCCTCGATTCAGTGGACAAGACGATTCATTGATGGTGGAGTTGATCTGTTACCTACAGATAAGCGTTTTGACCTTGATTATGTGGCAATATTTTCTTGCTTTATGATGATACCTAAACCGTACAATCCGTACATGATCTTTAGGTTGTTAATACTTATACACATGGCATGTGCGTTGCACCTTCTAGGTGTGGAACGCTTTGAGAAGGCTGGCAGGAGCTTGTATCTACGTTCACTCTTTATATTGAGCAGTTAGAAGCAGTCGAAAAGTTCGTGTATGTAAATAACTGTGTAAGTGTTGGTGGTGACGTGACTGATGAGATCGATCTACGTATGGTTAAAGCCAGAGTGGTCTGTGCCATTCTGGTCCAACTCTGACTCTGCGATCTTATTCTGTCTGTAAAACGTCAGACTTAAAATGCGTCGGTCAGAGAAGTTTTGCTTTATACTTGTGAAACCTGAAGTCTTCGGGTTGAGGACGTTATGTAACTTCTGTGCATGATCATCATTGTCTCCAAACGTTTACCGACATTTATTAATAATGTCATACTAGTGATACAGTTGTTTATCAACGTGTGTTTTGGTACAGTGACGATAGTTCAATTGGTGTTACCAGCCTAAAACACCGACTTTGGTGGCTCAGACATATACTACAAATGTTATCTAAACGAATTGTACATCGTGCATTATCTGTTCACGCTGGAACTGATTGGGAAGAACAGAGAGGTGGTTAGTTTATGTCATGACACCGTGTTGTGAGAGGAAGATGTACTTGACCGGCTTCTGTCAGTCGATCACGACCACCCTTTTTGGGGGTCTTAGAGACTCAGAAAAAGGTCATTGGCAGTCCTACTGTAATTGCGTCTTACTTTCTTCATAAAAGTTGAGAGAGCATTTTTGACTGTGAGGATTCTTCCTGATTATATTTGTCTTGATTGTACTGCATCTCTGATTATTTCTCTTAGTTCTCATTCACTTATTTTTATTGATTTATTGTTTTTATAATTATGCTTACCTTCTATCATCTATCTCTTCACAATCTCATTTCTTTATTGTATGTCACATCACTAATTTAGTATCAATTTGTCAAACAATCAATCAATATATATATATATATATATATATATATATATATATATATATAGATGACAGGAAGTCTGAATTTGTTTTCTTACACACTTCCATTATTTTCAATTTCGGTCTGTAGAACAATGGATATAGTACTGCTGTAAAAAAAATATTCACCTATCATGCATATAAAGTGAGTCGGGCGAATTGGTGGTTTATTTGGACAAATAAAAAACAATGTACCTTAATTGTTCATTGTGTGGTTCAGACAACGATTATCATTCATTTTCAAGTTAACCAGTATTCTTCTTACTGCTCTGATTAGTGTAATTATTGTGTGTATATTTTCAACGTATGTGGAATAGGTGTTCGTTGTTTTCCTTTGTGATTATAACTAGACGTTTGATAATGATAATGGTGATGTATTCGATCGTTATTTTTCTAAAATTCGACTACAAGACATATTCTTAAGGAGATTCTTTTAATACTAAGATATTCCTGTAGAAATATACAATATTGTGTGAAATTATGAAATGACTACCAACATTAAGCATTATATGTATTAAAACTTTTAATAAGCTATCTGTAGAGCAGATTATTTTTTATATTTTGATTGTCTAAGACCACATTGTATGACGACAAAACAAATTATTATTGCCAGCATATGCGTAACTGTGGTAATGTTTAAAGTAGACAGTCACCTAATTGATCACTTCTCTTAACAGCATAATGGAAAATAAACAATCTAGCATGACGTATGTGATGTGCTATGCCAATTGTACAAAACTGATTATTTATACTATTTGACATTTTTACATATTGGTTATATCAAAGGGAAATAATGTTACACTTTGTTAAGTACCAGTGTAAATTCTTATCTCTACGTAGATTTTGTGATAAATGTAGTTGTGCTTATCTATGCTATATTGTCCGTTATTTTACTCTTTTCCTTAGATTGAGAATATACCCTTACAAACTGGCCCATCAACTGTAACTTTTCCAACTACTACATTAACCGTTACGCTACCTCGAACCCAGAACCTTCCTCCCCATCAACCCAAGTTATCTGTTCCGAATATAACAAATGCCATTCCATCAAATGTAGTTCATTTATCTACTTCTGTAATTCCTGCCTCTAATGTAACTAATCCAATTCAATCTGGATCTCAAATTTCAAGTTAGTGGAATATTTTCCGTTCTCCAGAGGCCATAATTTTTGCGTTTTTCTCATCAAAGTGAATTAAGTTAGGATTCATGAGTATTTAAAAAAAAACTAAATTGTTTGTGTATTTATCAAGAAAAAGAATGTCAGATTTTTTTTTGTACTAACTAACCATTTAACAACTCATTTAGGGAAGTGTTTTAATTTTACATAATTTTGTGTTTGTATACTTATTCGAATTTACATATAACGATTCTGTGATCCTTATAATTTGCTGCTCCTCAATTATATCGTAGCTCAGATAAATTATTAATAAGTCTTAAATACTTCAATTATATTCATTAGATTTAATTAAATGATTCTGCTGCACTTTTTTTCTATGTTAACCATTACCAAGAAATTATCCTGCTAATATGCGCTCATTTGATGAAGTGGTTACACCATATCAGTTTCTATCGTAAGAAGTTTGCTTCTGATCTAGAGTTAATTAATTTTCACAAAACAATGTAGCAGTTGTATTAGCTAATTTTGTATTTGGCTCTAGTACTTCATTGTGCTACTCAATGTAAAAGTGAATAGAACTTATAATTCATGCACCAGTGGTCTTGTAATATAATTATATAATTATCGATTTGGAAACGTAATATTTTGTAAGGCCCTTGATTGACCTATAATAATTCTTTTATTTTCAATTTTTTTCTATTTAGCTACAAAGTGAATCAGCTTCTATAGGCAGGAGCCAGGATATTTTGTCTTAACAAGCATCTCTTTATAGCGGTAGTATTGATATTTGTAACATCACCGTTTTAATGTTTTGGTCGTCTGAACATAATTCGGTACGATATACATGCTTATTTTTCAATCATCAAATATATTTCGACAGCCCGGTGTTTTAATGGCTTTTTTTTTTCTTCAGGTGTTATTAAATTCGAGCTATATCCATCTCTTTATCTCTATATATAGTTCAATTATTTTTCATCTATTTACATTTGCTGCAATACAGATTTTTGTTCTTCTCTGTTTGTACGTTCATTGAACAAATTGAACAGATATTGTCCTGCGTCTTTCCATACGATCTCTTTACTTTGCCTTTTTTGTTGCACATCAATGAGAACAAAAAACAAAACAATCAATCAAACAAACAGAACAAAATGGATCATAATGTGTGGCTTTTTTCTATTTGCCTCTCTCTTTCTCTAATTTCTGCTTTCGAGCTTCCAACTTTGTTGTCCTCTTATACGCCTTTCATTTATTCAGTCTTATGTGTTACGCTTTTTGATCTTGTTTGTTGGTTATTGTTGAATAAGTAAAAAGAGATAAACGTATGCTTGCTTTGTTTTATTCTCATACTACATACAATCATTCCAGAATTACACTGTTTATTCTGTTTTGCATCTCTCTATTATATATATATATATATATATATATATATATATATATATATATATATATATTATTTGCATGTATAAATAAATACTTGTTCAAAATATCTTGCTTGTTTGCTTTCATTGCTTTATTTTTGTTTTCTTAGTTCAATAGAGCTAATATGCTGTTTTTGTTAAGTATCTATCGAAAGTTAAACAAAAGCCAATCAAATTTCATTGCTTATACTTACGGTCATAATTAGTTCTGTCCTTATATTACTTTATTTTTTTCCTTTGCTCTGTTTTTGGATTCTTCATTTCATACACTCCTTTTGTTATTCGTTTCTGTTGTTACATTTTTCACTATGCATCAACATATTGAGTTTTTTTCTTGACCAAAGCTTAATTGACAAATTATTATCCTGTCTTATAGGTGGACCTTTCACAGTTTCTCTTGTTTTCATTTTTTAAATTAAAAGGATTATTGTTGATCAATGAATTGCTTTTGTATTGTTTTCAATGCGTATTGTTGATGAAAACGATGGTAATTTTAACTCATCAAGTTTACGTGGTTTATGCGCTAAGTTATTAGTCCTAATCTGTTTGTGAATGTTGTCCAGTATGGAATATTGAAGGGGTGGTTTTGAATGTGGAGCATGTTGGATAAATACCTAATTTACAAACACGCCACTTTCCCATATTTTAAAAACATGGATAGATATGTTACGTTTATAGTATGAGGGTACAATTGATTATTCGTTTTAGTTCTCGATTCATTTAGTTTTTTGTATTTAGAAGAAGAAACAGAAGTTTAATTCGTACATAGTTTATGAGTCAGTGTTGATTGAAATTAGTGTAAGATATTTATTATCAATTACTCATGTTTTTGTTTGTTGTAAAGCATTTGTTAAAAGTGAGTAATTTGTATTTTACAGTTATATTAACAAATCTGAATCGAATTTGTACAGTTGTAAATAGAAATATATTTTTTAGTCATGATACAATGACTACGTTCATAGTAATTCCGTTGACTAATAAAGACAGCATTACTATTGAAAATGTGAGTCGTTGCGTTAAGTGACTATCATTTTAGTGTTGGTGTATTTATTAGCTCAAATCAATGTTTTTTTTTCCTTATGTTAATGATAGAATTTGGTTACGATCGTAGTCACCTTAAAATGCACTAGTTATATAGAATGCTTTATTTATTTTAGTTTCTCCAAATAACGTGATTTAGTTAAAAGTTATATTGCCTACGTAAATATAGAAAATATTTCTGATGATCCTTGTTTCGATTTTGTATTATTTGATCTAACATCCAAAATAAACATTAATACACTCGTAGGTTATACCAACCCACGTGTCAAAGAAGGCCAAATACACAGGTTTTATCGAAAACCAAATAATATTAATTACGGTATTCATAGTTCATCTATATTTCTAGGCTACCCGACTAGGATTTTTTTAAATTGAGATCATGAACCGATTGATGTTAGATTACCACAATTGGAAACCTGGAAGCACTGGACGACCGTTTCGTCCTATTGTGGGACTCCTCAGCAGTGCGCATCCACGATCCTGTTCGCGAGATTCGAACCCAGTGCCTTCGGTCTCGCGCGCGAACGCTTATCCAACTGGACCACTGAGCCGGCATCCAATGGTGATAGTGAAACGGCCGTCCAGTGCTTCCAGGTTTTCAATTGTGGTGGTCTAACATCAATCAGTTCATGATCTCAATTAAAAACTTAATAATCTCCACAACCCCTATATTAGTTACCAGACTAGGAGTTATGTTAACTCGAGTGATCTTCGTACTCATTAACGTCTGCCCACATTTTCACCTCATTTCTTACATGCCCTTGTAAGATTTTATGGTTTCCTCAATATATAAAGCATATTTCAAAGGTTTCTCTTAGATTGGGTGGAAAAAGCGTTGAGAATGTTTTAGACGAAGTTTTTTGTCTTCATTTAGTGAAACCAACTGATAAATTCCATGGAATGAAAGTAAGGGACTCGACTATTTATTCTTACTAGGGTTTCATCAAGTCTATTCACTTCTACCTTGAAATATTTTTAGTGGCAGTCTTTTTAACTCACACAAACAATCATAGATCAATCCTTTTAGTGATTATTTTTGATTATAAAAGAATACTTAGCGATATTGTCGTCAATATATTCCAATTGTACTTATAATTGAGAAAATATACTTTCTATCATAAACTATTCTCAAGGTATATACAGGGAAAATACTACAGCTGTTTCAAAAATCTTTTACTTACTGTTGTCATTTCATGATTTATTTAATACGTTTGTATACTCTGGATGAGTAATATATATAAGAATAAATAATGATCTTTGTCTGGTAGACTGTGACCTTATTCTATATCTATTTTATGTCCTCTGTGCAGTATGGCTTAACAGTAATTTGATTTCTTTGGTCAGTTTTTTCTAACTTCCATAAAGTAATGAAAAATAAACCAACTTATAGACGTATTTATTCATATATCAATCTTTGATCAATAGAATGTATGAGATTGTGTTGTCATTATGTAGTGACAAGAATTCTATCAATCACATATCTGACATCGAATTGCCAAAAATTAAATGATACATTAATAGTAGAATATAATGAGAATGACGAATTTGGAAAATATACCGTGATAAGTTTCTTTTTTTAAATATCCATAGATGATAACGTTTTGTTGTTATTGTTCAACACAAATTAAGTAATTGAATAGCTCATTGTTATTAGGCATTAAAATGTAATTGATCCGATTTTATACTTAATTATGTCATATGAATGAATAATTTAATTAGAGTGCACATTATTAACATTCTCTTAATAAGAAAGAAAAATGTATTTATAAGGAAGTTATTGTTGTTTTGATTTGCCTAATGATTCATCGTATTCACGTTGATGTCATTATATTAAACATGCTAGAATAGAAAGAAATGTTTCTTATCAATGTGAAAGTAAAGTGTGGTTGGATTATTTCCAAATTACGAAGTGTTTTGTATTTGAAATCATTTCCTGGCAATGAAGATGTATTTTATATATATATATATATAATGCTTTTGGTATAACTCAGAAATACTTTTTACTGAAATAACTACTGAAAATCAATAAAGGAGGTGTGTTTCGCCTATCGGTGGGACTTCTTAATAATGATTATTTACAACTTAGAACATTCAAGATTCGTAGTGATCCTTCATTACTATAAGTTAACTGACGTCAATTGGTCCACATCTACAAAATCAGTCGGTTTGAAACACTGTGCTCCACACAGTGCTACCGAAATACTCTGTATTTTATCAGCGCCTTCACCAAACAGGATTATATCATCTGCGTATTCTAAGTCAATAAGCGGACCTTTTGGTAGGAGATCGATCCCCAGAAATTTAGTCAACGAGATTTATTTCCAGCAGTAGGTATATGATGAAATTGAACAAAAATGGACAGCCTTGACGGACACCACTTGAGGTTGCGAAATCAGATGACGGTTTGCCATAAACTCTGACTCGACTGGTAGTGTTCGAGTAAAGAACCTTTACAAGGTTTATGTATTCCTAAGGTACACTTTTCAATGACAGACAACGCCACAATACCTCTTGGTCAACAGAGTCAAATGCTACTGTTAAGTCAATAAAAACTATCATTGTTGGAAGCCGATAAGCGTGTCTGTGTTCTGGAGCCTGACGAATGGTGAATATGTGGTCAATGCAGCCACAACCAGGTCTGAAGTCAGTCTGATTTTCTCGTGTTTGCGGTTAGTTCACGAGTCTTTGTTAAGCGTCCGATAATTATTGAGGCTAATATTTTAGATGCTATGTTGATCAAACTAATCCCTATATGGTTATCACAGGATGATTTTTGATCCCTTCTTATATATTGAGACCAATTAGAAGAGATTACATTCAGTTCCCAGATTTTATCTAGAATACTGTTATAAGTATTACAGGCCAACAGTTCTAGTGTTACTTGATATTAGTTCTGCCTTAGACTCATTGGACAGGACTGCCCTCTGGGATTGTTTTTTGAAAAAAGTGTGTGACTGTGATGTTTATTAACATCTTGAAAGGTTTGTACACGAACACAGACAGATTGAGGACATACAATCACCTCTCTCCATTGTCCCATTCAGTTAGTGGGGTTAGGCAGGGTTGTCCAATCTCACCATTACTCTTCAACTTTGCTATCGATGACTTTCTGGAAACAGCTCTGATAGATGTAGGTAATTCCGGTGTGCTTCTGTTGCCTGTAGAAAGACATCTCGACCTTCAGTATGAGGATGATATTGTCTTACTGTACGATGATACTCAAGCCATGCAGTCCGCACTCGATCAGTTATCAATAAGTGTCCATAGGTATGGTATGTGCTTTGCACCTTCGAAGTGCAAAGTACTTTAAAAGGTTGGCAAGACCCTGATCCTGAACTCACTCTGTATAGTGAGCATGTAGAAGTAGTCGAGAAGTTCGTGTATCTGGGTAGCTATGTAAATGCTGGTGTCAGCGTGAGAGATGAGATTGATTCATACAGCTTATGTCAATCTGGACCATCTTTGGCGTCTTCGTGATTTTATTCTGGCTGTAAAAGATCGGATCTACGACGCATCGGTGAGAGCAGTTTTGCTCTATGCTTTTGAAACCTGGTCCTCCTGAGTTGAGGATGTTACACGACTCTCTGCGTTTGATCTTCGTTATCTCCGAAGGATTGCTGGCATCCAGTGGCAACACCATGTTAGTAATGCAGAGGCTCGGTATCGTGTGTTCGAGCTCAGAGACAATAATTCAGTTGGTATCACTATCTTGAAACATCGACTCCGGTGGCTCGGACATGTTCTATGAATATCGTCCCAGAACAGCGGTGAGGTGATCAGTGTGTGTCATGGTATGAAAGAAAGCTGTACAGGACTGGCTTCTGTTGGTCCTTCACGACCTCCTGGTTGGGTCCTAAAGATGATGAAAGAGTTGGTAGACGTTATCAGATACGGTTTAGAGTAGAATCTAGTGGCGATCCTGCTGTAACTTTCTTTTATTTTCTCCATAAAATAATAGAAGTAACCTCTTTAACTGAAAGAATTTCTGGTTGTACCTTTGATAACTGAACTGCCCCTCCCATTATTACGATTATAATTATTATTGCTCACTTTCATGCACCAATTTCTGTTCATTATTGTTGTTCTTTTTCTTATATGTGCTTTATATTCTCTATCTCTTCACATTCTCATTGTTATTGGGTGGCGCATATGTATTTGATGCCCCTTTGTATCAATCTTTATGTGTTTATATAAATAAACAAATTTGAATCTTGTTTATCAAAAGGAAATTTGGATCAGTTCATTAAATAGCGATTTGGGCGTTAGGTGCGAAAGTTACTAGATACAAGTCTCAGTTTGAACATCAAAGAGAGGAATTAAAAGTGTTAAACAAAAAAATCTTCAGGAAACAATCAAGAAAGTTGCATCAATAGGTTTTAAAGTGAATGAATTCACCTTTTTCAAATAAAGAGGAGTCATATATGTAGCCTTTTTCGAAGATTTCCAATTAAACTCTAACTTTTTGTTTATTTACCTTATCAAAGCGTCGATAAAAAAAAGTTCCATTCTTATATTTGAAAAAAATGACAACCATTTTGTGCAATAATTTTTCGATCAAATGCATGCGTAAACCCAATGGTTATGCCCGTTTGTAAATATAACTTTGGTTTCAAAAACCTTTTATGTTTATGATACATCTCGATTATACTAGTAATTTTATTCGGATAGAAAATCCGATTAGAAAAGTTGACATTTCATTAAAAAGATAAAATAACATGAATTCAGTGTTAGTATGTGGTGCAAGGCGACTCACGTTCGGTAAACCAATTTATTTCTTTTTCATGACATTGAAGTTGTATGCTATTGAATTAATCTTTTAACGACATTATTTTGGAAAACAGCAAGCCTAATATAACCATCTATTCTTTACAATCAAAGATCTGGCGATGAAAGTCATTCAACCGTTTCAACTTTATCAGTTAATTTAATTTTAGCATGAATGAAGAGGACTGTTTCCAGATGAATATTACAAATAATGTCAACATCATTTACAATAATTTTATTTAAAAATCAACATGAGAACATAACTTTGTGTTATGCTATAATTAGTTCATCAGAAAGGGGGGAAAACATACTATCACTTCTAATTTCCGTAAATTTTGTTATCAAACTCAAATTACTTATTAACTTTCATTCGACTTACTACTGTTGTACATTTTTAAATAAGATCTTCAATATTTAAGTAGATATGTTTATATTCACGGAGTAACGTATCAATGTTATTCCTTTCGATTAGGTAAGACGAATATGTTTGGACATTGTCTTTTACAAAGTTTATCAAGCAAACCATGTAGATGTATTTGAAAGCTGTGAATATCTGTGTTAATGATCCTTGAACGATTAAGGGAAAAAATTCCATTCGGGTGTATTATAGACGTTATCTTTAGGACAATTTATGTAATACTTCTGTGCTCTATAGTAAAGTATATGTGTTATATAAAAAATGATTAGAACAATCAATACAAATCATCTAGTGATCAGTTTATTTAAAGTCCTGTAGTTTGTGTTTCATAAGGATTAATATCATATTCATAAAACATTGCCTAATCCGAAGCTGTCGGAACAAGGTTCAGTCATTTACAAGGAGATATTGTAAAAAACTTAGAAGATATCAATCATTTTAGACTAAATAATGTATTCTTAATTTAATTTGTTAATTACTAATATATTCCCAAGTTCATAATTTACTCACTTTCACTCTCATTTCATAATGAGTGAATTTCTGGATTCAGGGCATTCGCTGTACTGGAGAGATTATCGGCATTCAGATTGATAAGGGCATTCATTTTTTTTGGAATGAAATATGATTGAAAAAAAATAATTGGAAGCATGTCATGATAAATATTTTCCGATTTAGATGGGTTCTTTGGCGATGGGGTAATTGTGTATAATTTAAAAAGAATTAAAAAAACTATGAACCTTTGGATTTTAACGCAGTAATTGGATGGTATTTTGATTAGTGAAAAACTATAGCTTCCTGAGTTTGATTACATGTTAAATCATTGACATATTATGTCAATACTTTCCATAATTCCCCAAACGTTTCCTGCATATTAAACTACTTGTTAACTAGGAATTTCTTAATGACTGTTTTTTTTATATTTTTGATCCTTTAAGATTATAATTATACGTGTCGACAACGGACTATTAATACATTAACATCTTCAATAGTTTAACTAATCAAAGTAAGAAAATATTTTAAAACTTTTAGAAATTCATAACAAAAGAATAATCAATCTAAAATAATAAAAAAAGTTTACGTACCGTGTCAAATTGTATTTCTTGTTTGTTTTTAAATGAGAACAAAACAAAGAATACAAATGAGTAAATGAAAGTGTGAATAAATCACAATAACAACAACTGAAAACATAGAAATTTTTAATTTACAAATATCGATTCATCTAGTAGGGTAATCTAAAGTTGTCTTAACAATTTCATGATGTATATATATATATATATGCATACTGCATCTAAATAGTTCATATGAATGAATAGATGCTAAAACATACATATACCAATGTATAAAGTAGTATGGAGACAATTATCAGAGTTAATCTGTATGATCGAGATTGAAACTAATGGACAAGCTAAAATTTTATCATGGGATAACAATAGTAATGATTCAAATCAGTCAGATGAAATACAATTTCGCGTGAAAATCTCTCCTAATGAAGGATTATACGCTCATGCTGAATATGAATTTGAGGTTAGTAATATTAAATGATTTTAAACTGTTCATTTGTTAGATATTAATTCTTAAATAATACTAAGTGTGCTAAGTTTTTCATAGTCTGTTATCTTTTCACATAATACATAGACCCTTTATTATTTTAATGATTCCAATGTATAGGATAGTCTTAGTATCTATACTAGTATATCATTCATTAATAACCATAATTATTTTATCTATTTATTTCATACTGATCTATAGAATTCAGTGATAATATCCTCCAGTATGGTACTAGGTTAAAATACTTTGAATATTATGCTGAATATTATCAACTTTATTATGATTACAAATAAGTCTTACTAATAAGTGTGAAATAGAGCAAAAAACTAGATTTATGATTTTTTGTCGATTGTTTTTTTTTAAAATCTTCGAACACAAGTTAATAACTAGCATAAATGTTTTATTTGGAATACGTCAATCAAGCTAAAAGTTCATAAAACATTGAGTAAATTTATTTGTACAATAGAATTGTGACAAGTATACATATTTATTAGTTGAATTCATGAGTCAAATGAAACTAGTTCACTATGGAAGACCTAGAAGCACTGTACGGCCGTTCCGTCCTAGTATGGGACTCCTCAGCAGTGCGCACCGATGATCCCGTCCCGAGAGATTCAACGGTAGACGGTGGCTCACTTTCGTGGATTGGTTGGAAATAGGCATTAGCACCGTTGGATCCAGGCTTAATGGTTTAGTGGTTAAGCGCTCGTACTCGAGACTGATAGGTCTTGGGTCCGGTTACGCACTGCTGAGGAGTCCCACAATAGGACGAAACGGCTGTCCAATGCTTCCAGGTTTTCCGTAAGGGTTTAGCTTCAATCGACTAACGAATCCAACTATTAAATTACTATAATACCAAAAAACATTTTCTCTGAATAAAATATACATATGTGCATCAATGTTCAGTATCATTAAGTTTATTAAGTACAAAAATAAGTAATGAGGTGAATTCTTAAACTGTTGAGAATGTATAGAATTTCCATAATGCATAATTTTGTTCACTTTGAATTCATGTAACATTAGTTTTATCTGTAAATAATATATATCGGTGTGAGGTTGTTTAGGTAGTTGAGTTTTTTTTATTAAGATCATGAACCGATCAATGTTATAACATCATTGGAAACCTGAATGCACTGGACGGACTTTTCGTCCTAGTATAAGACTCCTCAACAGTGCTCATCCTTAATCTCGCACACGGAACTCAATCAATAATATATTTATCTGTGAAAATTATATCGAATTGCCTGAAAAATTGAAAAAAGACATTTTGATATGAAATCTGTTAGGCTTGATTTTTAAGTCTCTATGATTTTGATTAAGTTGATACATAGTTTTGAGTTACATGAATAGTTAAATTTTTAAAGAGATCAATATATGACACAAGCTATCCTTTAAAATGGTCTTTGTGTTTCTTTCATTATATATTTATTGCTAATCAAGGGACCTAGTTCGTTGAATAAACATTGATATTCAAATACCAGAATATTTTGTTCCTTAATCTTGATGATTCTATTCTTTGACATGAAATTATTTAGTTCCTGTATTATATCATCTTAACTGATTTCTAACTTGATTTGTTTGTTTTTTTCTGTTTGGTAAAATTCAATCGAGAATATAAGAATAAGCTTAGATTTTAGATTCATTAGAATAACAATATCAAACTATTTATTTAATTGCCTTACCAACAATTAATCTTGATTCGTTCCCTTTACGATTTATCATAAATCCTTTCCCAACAATTTTATACGTCCATAAACTATAATCACTTTTAACAGTGTAAATTTATTATTATTATTATTCGAGTAGGTAAATTGTTTTAGATAGAAACCAAATTAAATTAATGGTAATTTACAGGATAAAAGAAAGATAATAACAGGCAGAATATAATTAGTAAACAATCACATATATTTTAATATTGAAAATGCTAATCATAAACTTAATAAATAGGATGCATTAGATATTCGAATGATACTACTAAAATGTTCTTTACAATAGTTGGCTGTGTATAGTTTATACTTACTTACTTACTTACGCATGTTACTCCCAATGGAGCATAGGCCGCTGACCAGCATTCTCCAACCCACTCGGTCCTGAGCCTTCTTTTCTAATTCCATCCAATTCTTGTTCATTCTTCTCGTGTCTATCTTCATTTCCTGCCGTGATGTGTTCTTTGGTCTTCCTCTTTTCCTTTGACCTTCAGGATTCCATGTGTGGGCTTATCTTGTGACGCAGTTGGGTGCTTTCCTCAATGTGTGTCCTATCCACTTCCAGCGCTTCTTCCTGATTTCTTCTTCCGCTGGGATATGGTTTGTTCTCTCCCACAGTACGTTGTTGCTAATAGTGTCCGGCCAATGGATCTGAAGTATTTTGCGTAGACAATTGTTAATAAACACCTGTATTTTCTGGATGATGGCTTTCGTAGTTCTCCAAGTTTCTGCCCCATACAGTAGAACTGTCTTGACATTTGTATTGAAAATCCTGACCTTGGTGTTGGTTGACAGTTGCTTTGAGTTCCAGATGTTCCTCAGTTGTAAATATGCTGCTCTTGCTTTGCCGATCCGCGATTTCACATCTGCATCAGACCCACCATGTTCATCGGTATAGTTTATAGGATCAATAATTATTCACTCATTCTTTGATACAGATACTATTCATAATAAATAAATTATTTAGGGAAAATAATAACCCAAGTAACTGATTGTTTTAATGAAAAGAAATTAATAACAATTCAGTAAATAAAATCTATTCCTTTCTTGATGATCCCATTTACTCAAGCTGTACATTTGTATTTATAATGATTTAGTGACTAAAATAAAAAAAGGGATTATATAACAAAGTGTTTTAAAATTTAAAGTATCTCTAGAGAGTTATGCAACGATTGAGAAATTGTATGAAAATGTTAAGATGAAAAAATATATGAAATCTAGTTGTTCACTTCGTGAATATGGAAAAGGAGAAGATTAAACTAAGATCACAAATGAACAAAATAAAAGATAGAAAGATGTATTTTAAAAGTACTTTACGGAGAAAGGAAAACTAAGACGGAAAAATGACAGCTTGTATAAATTGTTTTCTCACACGGAATTGAATTTTAAAACGATGAATCACTGACACTTCTACAGTGCATAAGTTAGTGATTTATGCTTCCTTCGAATACAGTCTTTTGACCGCATAGATGACTTTGAAGAATATATCCGATGAATCACTGTAACCAGAATTGTGAGGGTATTTTAACATTGAGGAAGTGATTATTATTGTACATTCTAATTTTGAAAACCATGCGCGATAATGCTCAAAGTTGCGTTTAGATAGAACTCTTTTTACGGCTAATGTAACCTTCTTCAAGAATAAGTATTTTAAAATATATTAATAACAAGTTAATGTCATAGTTGAAAAAGGTTCTGTAAATCAAGTGACCTCAATTGAAAATTAATAATTAACAGCTATAACTTTCAGTGTATAATTAGATCATCTAGTTACTAGCTGAATAAATTTTATCTTTCTGTACTAGCTTATTGTCATTTTAGTGACTTTCAATACAATTAATAAATTGTCTCTCATAAGTATCATCCACCACAAATATAAGTTAGTTATTATATTCAAGTTATATTTCCTTCACCATTTAGTAAAAATTATTTCAGAGTTCCTAACTAAGAATAATACGTTTATTGAAAATATGAAAGATAGAACAATTAACTTCATTTTATATTTGAATATCAATTACAATTACATGTATATACATATAACACCGTATCATTACACGTTTATTCTCTATGCTGATAGCTTGTAATAAGTTTTGAGTTAATAATTTTGAATAATTTGCAAAAAAATTAATGCTAACTAATGAACTTAAGAAACAAGAATACGTTGGTAAATAATTTACCATAACTACATTGTTAATGTGAAAATCACGCGCAAAAACAGTCAATTTCATAAAACGTTTTCAAACCATTATAAAACTAACGTATTAAGTTCCATAACTTCAATACATATAACAACATTTGTTTCATTAATTTGTTGGTATCCCCCAAATGCTCTGATACGGCCGAGGGTAGGGAGAGTCCACTCTCCCTCTCAAAATGCTCTCACATAGCTACGCGTATATAGCCTCTGCCAGGGAAGTCCTACTCACTGCCTTCTTGTGACGGCGGTGTTGTTTACGAAACTGAGGTGACGAAAAGCGAATATCCGGAGCTTTAACCGGTTGGTGGTCATGGAGACTCCATCTAGGGGAGTTGAAAAACCCTGATTCCAAATCAATGGTGTACATGGGCTCCAGTACCCGGAGGGAACAATTGTCGTATGAACCTAATGTTGATCACCGGCTACCATGAGACTGCACCTTGTTACGATGCTCCACTGCCTTGTGGATCAAAACTTTAGGTCTAAGGCTCCGTGTTTGGCTCCCTAAGGAAACCACATACTTCGGTTTGAGCACCCGGGCATTATCACAGCCCTCATACATATCAAATGAGATTTGTGTGGCGCATATGTATCTGGTGCTTCTTTGTACCAGTATTTATGTGTTCATTGAAATAAATTTCATTCATACGCACACATATTGGATCATTAAACTTATGTAAACAATAAGCTGAATAATAAATTATGAATGTTTTCAAAAAATTAATGTATCTTTCACATCATATTATCTTTGTAATATAATGTACTTTAGATATATAGTCACTTGTAGTAATTCATGTAATTATTTCATGATATTTCATATTCAAGATGCAAAATGTCGATCATTAAATAAGTATTTTCAAATATATATTATCAAGAATAATTTGTATTTGAAGTGACTGACTGATTATTCATTGAAGTTGTGAGTTTTGATATGTTTGACAAGATTTAAGTCTATTGAGTGTTGATAATATCAATCTCGAAAATATTTGCATTATTAGTATTTAAAGTTAAAATATATTTATGTCCAGTATGTTGATCTTTCTACTGATTGTCTGTTTGAGGTAAGTCACTGACATAAAATGTCTTCGAATGAAAAATCTTCGCGAACCTCCTTTGCTAATAAAACATGCAATGATTCAAGTGCTGCAAGCACTAAATAATCAATCTTAACCAGTCTTTATTTACACAAATTCAGTTATTCATTCCAACTTTGTATCCGACCCTATACCTTACATTGCCATGATGATGGAGGTTTGATATATCGGGTAAGAATTAAGCGTGATGGTTTACTCTTAATTTCATTGCTGTTTGAATGACTTATTTGATCCGAATCGTCCAGCTTGTTATGTTTTAGCTAACGATTCAATAATGTTTATTTACTCGTTTAATATTTCGTATATAAGCTTGTCATTCTACTATAAAAATTATTCTATTCTCCTGATTGCCGATCTTGTTATTGATTTTGCTCCATTCAACTGTTTGCATCAGTTATTCAGCCTTGTAGGCGGATTTCACTCGAACACAGTGTATCATTGCATTTTATTAATCTATCGACATCTAGTTAACTTATTTTAAGTGTCGTAATACAGCACATTATTCCTTAAACTTCTAATGTATAGGACTGAGTGCCGAACTAATTTATATTGGTTCCTAATGATCATATAATTATATTGCATTATTCGATCACGATTTTGATTATTTATTAGACAATCTCTAAATGTCCTTCCTTAATCGAATTATGACCCACAACAGAATGATGAATAAAGTGAATTTGTACATCTTGAAAAATTTCACGAAAAACTGTTCAAGGCAACCAGTCAAAAAAACACCACAAATGATCGAAATAGTAACTGCATTTCATATATCTTAGTTTAGATCCTTCAAATGATATCAATCCACTAACTTACGAGCAGAAACGTATTTAAGTAATTTTCATCACAGATTGACATAAATTAAAGAACTATTAAAAAACTAAGAAAATTCTAATAACTGATTCTTTCCAGTTTAAGATACAATAAATATATATAATAAATTATCCTCATACAATTGTGATAATTACTTATAACCATGAGTTTATTTGAAACTTCCTGAAATAATATTAGAATAGTGACATGCGGAATTAACATTAATGAAAATACAACAGAAAATCTTGTAATTTCAGTGGTTAAGATCATGAGTCAGTTGAAGCTAGACCACCACCGAAAACCTGGAAGTAGTGACCAGTGGAGTTCAACCAGGTCTGTTGTGAGATAGTAAATCACTGAAGACAATGGTGAATGTATCGCTGAATTTCGTGGATTATTTAAAGTCAGACATTTACACCGTTGGATGCCGGCTCAGTGGTCTAGTGGTTAAGTGCTCGTGCACGAAACCAGTAGGTCCTGGGTTGGAATCTTACAGGGGGGCGAGGTCGTGGATGAGCACTGCTGAGGAGTCCCACAATAGGACGAAACGGCCATCCAGTGCTTCCAGGTTTTCCGTGATGTTCTAGCTTCAAGTGACTCATGATCTTAACCATTGAAGTTACTACAATCTCCACAATACCCATCTAAGAAAATCTTGTGTTTGAATTAAATGAGAATTTCGTCATAGGATAATTTGACTGAAATCGGAAATAAGAATCATAAAATTCTAAACTAATTATCTTACGAGTTAGTTTATACTGTAAGATCAGATTCTATTTGACCTAATCTCTTGTGATATTCATAAAAAGTATTCTCAACGAGTTTCAAATTATAATTAAGTGAATTTAGTTAATCTTAGCATTAAATGATTCTACAACTACTATTCACATATAAAAATTACATTCAAATGGTGTGATATTTGCATTCAATCAACCTATTAAATCATAAATTGTCGTTACCGTTTGAGGAATCATAAACAAATGACATTTGTTTTCTTTTCAATTTTCAGACTTGTTACTAATGAGAAGAATAATTTTTAACAAATCGATAGTTATTTAAATAATACATGAATCTTCAGATAGATGTATTATGATATAATGAATAATTTTGTTAGTGTCTGAAGTTCTATTATCCTTGTTTTAATAAAAATATAATTGATATTCAAATGAATTTTTAATATACTACTTTAAACCTTAATTAAACATGTGATACAGTAGAATTGACATAAAGTACATCTTTCTCCAAGATGTGAATGTCACTTAACTAGTTCAAATAACGTAATACTTTTCAGTTAAGAAATGCCAAATAATTTGATTGATTGAATCCTATTCCTGAAGTATACTGTACACAAATTTTCAAATGCATTATTCTCACACATTATTTAATGGGAATTACATTGTGGAAGTGATAGATTAGACTCAAACGAAATTTGAATTTTATTTGCTAGGATATTTATTGCTTAGTATTATAATAAAACTGACATAGTTGTGTGTTTTTTAAAGTTTAACTAATGAATCAGTTCAGTGTAACCACTTCTTACTATCAATCTATTTATATGCTTAGTTTAACAAATCATATTTTTAGTTTCGTAAGCTTTTAAAGGATTACTGGTAAAATCCACGTTACGCTTGAAGGTATCCGTTTATTTTTTAGGATTTATATCTGATTACTAGACATATTGGAATCATGAAATTAGAATGTTAAGTTTTTACTTAATGATTGTATGTCAGAACCTGAACTTATTAGAAGGAAATTAATCAGTTAAGATCAAGGTAAAATATTAATTATCTAGCGTTTAGTTTCAACAACTTGATGATATATTTACCTTGTAACGAACATTCTTTCAGTAAAAACAATGTTGACACTGGTAAAAAGCAATGCATTAAAACGATTTTAAACAATAGATTAAAAGCTCATATTAGATTCCACATTTTTCAGAATGATTTACGAACTGGGGTCTAGTTCTGCTACAGAGACACATTTGGAGATTGACAACTCCGTTAGACAAGGTAAAATTTAGCTTCCGTAGGGAATCATACTACCAAATGTGCGTACAACTCATGTAAATTTAAAAGTTAATAAATGGAATTTGACATGAATCTGTAAGTTGTAACCTTTGGATATATGAATGATTCACTTTCTCACTATAGATAACCTAAGCCTAAATCTGACTTGCCATGCCACTTTGCGACATCATATGTCATCTATTCGCTCCATATATCAGCGTAATTTATAAATGAAATGTTTGACAAAGTTAAGTAATACATATGTTTCAAAATAATAACTTGGATTTTCTAATGGTTTCTGTTTCCGTGTACTTTAATTAATTATTTTTTTTGAAAGATCATAATTCGTTTGGAACATTATGGAGAAACTCCAGTTGTTCGTTGCATGAGTCATATATATCATCCAAATATTGAAGATTATGATATTGGTGGAGCTGTTTGCCTTAATTTACTTCAAAACTGGAATATGTAAGTTTCGAATACTAACTACTACAGCTGTTCTAAACAGGTTTGTTTGTACACAGATTAACTACTAGGTGTTGGTAAACACATGTTGTATTTATATAAACGATTTATTTCTTTTGTGGCGCAACTTCATAATTATGAGGCCACATTTTAAATATTATGGAACAATCCTTTCCAGAATTATTTTACTCGTGAAAATTAATATCTTATAATTGAATGTTCCAAAAAAAACCAATGAATTAATTTCCCTCACTTTGGGCACATTTTCATCCAGATTGAACCAATTCTTCTGTCAATTTTCGTCTGTGACACAGGTTTTGGGAAAAACACTATACTGTCTTTTTATTCTCGTCGAATCGTTTTCACTCAAATGGGTTTCAACCTGTTTTTGATGCAAAAATTCTTTCCTTCCAATTTCATGGTGTGACTGGCTTCAACTGCTTAACGTCAAATAAATTACACTTCGACTTTGAACCCCTCAAACGTATGACAATAGTGTACTGACATTAACAAAGTCTTATCAGGGCTAAGGAATAAATAAAATAGCGCTAATTACTGTATCGACGCTAAGTATCTAAACATTTTATTTCTATAATAGGACAGTTGTAGCCAGGTTAACGTGGAAACTATGTCTCAGTCTATGACGTTAGTTAACAATGGCTAAACGTCAAGGATAATATGAATGCAGATATACCATTTTGGCTAATGCAAACACGCGTAGAAACTCAACTAAAGATTACCTCTCAATCAATGTAGTTTGAGTATTTTTTGTATTATCCCAGCCTTTCCGCATATATAAACATGTAAATCACTTACAATATAGAATAATACATGATAAAAACAGCAATATTTTGAACAAAAAGCGAAAAATCTTTGTTTTACATTTCAAGTTAATAGTACTGGTATTATTAGTAATTATGAATGATATAAAACTTTTATTATGATTCTTTTGTCTTCTATTGTATCTTCTTTCTTTTCACGGTTAAATCAGTGGAATGGGCCTTAAAGCTATCATTAATGGTTTACTGTTTCTATTCTATGAACCTAATGAACAAGATCCAATTAATGAGCACTTTATTATTCCATCTGGATCTAGTTTTCAACAAGCAGTTATCGAATCTTTACAAGGAGGCAGTTATTCACATTATTCAGGACTACCAAATAAAGCTTGGTGTATTTGGTATAATAAAAATAAGATAATGGAACAAAAGGATTCAAATGAAATTATTGCGAAAAATAATAAACCAGAAAAACATTTAAAATCTAACTATAGTAAATATCTTGGATTTAATGTACATGATGAAGTTATTGATCAGCATCTACATGAAGAAACTGATGAACAATATGACTGTGAATATCCTAGAGATCAAAATAATAGTCCATCGATCTCATCAGAGAAACAAGTATAAATCACTGTTAATTTCATTCTGTTTTCAATGTCAATAGTCAATTAAATTCTATTCAATTTAGGCTTTTATAGAACTGGGAAGCCATACAAGAATTAATAATCAACCAATGCTTATTTTTACTATATTTAGATGAAGCAAATCAAATAAATAAGAGAGGAAATTAACTATAAAGCCAGTGTTCAATTTGAATAAAATAAATATACTTTTTGTGATAGTCTAATGTGTAGAAAATTGTATATCTGACATTTTGTGACTTAATCTAAGCCACTTCTTCAAAGTAAACAAATAACCGATATTAAATTATCGCAATTTTAAATAACACAAAGGAAACAATGCAAAATATTTTTAGTACAATCAAAAACACAATAGGTCTAAATATATCAATGTCAAGTTATTTTTGGTCAAGGTAAATTTGTATGACATGCCATTGTATTAATTTTTGCGTCTGAAGATGGGTATGAAAAATGTATACATTTGTAATACGAAGTAGTGGGATAGAAATTGCTTTGCATATTTGTTATTTTCAGAAGCGGTTTTGTGGAGATTTTAGTAATTTCAGTATTTGAAATCATGAGTCAATTGAAGCTAGACCACCATGGAAAACCTGGAAGCACTGGAAGGCCGTTTCGTCCTGGTATGGGACTCCTCAGCGGTGCACATCCACGATCCCGCACCCCACGGGATTCAATTGTTATTAACAATCTACCCAGTACTCTATTTATTCCAAACCATAAAGTTCAACCTTATCAATGACACCTATAATTATCAGTTTTATATGAATCAATGATGTTTTATTTGTCGTTCATCTCAATTAATCTGTTTCATGCTTATGTGTGCTTCTATTTTGCAATCAACTAGAATAATTCATAGTTGATTGTGCTTTTCTTGATTACCACTATTATGAGTTAATGGTGTAATCGATTAATCATTAAACATCCGATGATCTAGAATAAAATCGTTTCACTTTTTCTGTCTCTTATGATAGCATGCTTCAACATTAGGATCCAGTTGTTGTGTAATATTGAAAACATTAGACGAAATGTTAGTACTCTTAATATTGTTTAGTTATATAAAGTGAAATAAATATAATAAATGTTAATATGCAAACTTTGGTTAATATCTTCTGGAAAATGATAAGTAAATTTCGTTGGTGTTTCTATGGAAAGTATGGAGTTTTTATGCAAACAACAATTAATTTTTGTCTAATCACATACATGAACATACTCGTTATTTGAATGTTAAACAGTAATTTGAAGTGTTAGTTAATCTTTAGTTAATTTTAAAATATCTAGCTCTTACCAATGAATACAAATAACTTGTATTTACTTTCATTTAAGAATTTTTCAAGTTGCATAAATTAATTACCATAATAACATAACAAAGACAGATAATGGATGCGCACTGCTGAAGAGTCCCATACTAGGACTAAATGGCCGTTCAATGCTTCCAGGTTTTCCCTAGTGGTTTAGCTTCAATTGACTCATGAATTCAACTATTAAATTACCATAATCTCCACAAAACCTTATTCTGATAAAATGTTAAATATTAATATTTTTTTGAAAATTTAAAAGTATTTATGTGACCTACTTTCATTGCACTCAATTTTGTATGACTTTTGATATTTATATAGAGATAAATAACAAATCATGTACAGTTGTGTCCGACTAAATGATCCTCACGTCACATACTTTACAAATAAAACATAAATATCATTATTACTGACTTCAAAAGATAATAAACCATTCTAATAGAACCTACTTCTGAACCACTGAAACATTATTCAGTCATATAAAGTTACTCGTTTAGTTACCAATGGAAATCGAGATACACTAGTTCAAAATTGTTCTATTTTAACACTTAAATCATTTTCTTCTGTTTTAAGCTTTTACTTGTTTCCACTTATTTTGTTCAAGCACTTGTACATTTTTCAATGGATTGAAAATGTCATTTTTTTGGTACAGTACTTCACATTTCAAATATATTCAAGCACCACAAAAATAATTATCATTAACTTGCTTCATATTGTGTTTATATATATATAGTTGAAAAAATCTGGTAGTCATGTCGCTTTTAATAAGTTTATCCCAACATTTTCGGTCTTTTTATTATTTTTGTGCATGGATTTATGTGTTACTGTATTTAGTGTCGACAAACAGTACTGTCGATTATTGCCTGTAAAGAGGTTATTCTCAATGTTAAACAATGTGTTGAATGGTTTATATGAATATATACCAAAGTGATTTCATTGTATATTTAAAGATAAAAACTGAAATTCGCTAGATTCTTTTCCAAATACACTTATTGAGTATAACTGTAATAGCATACACAAAAGATTTTAACGCTAAAATGCCGATATTGTACGTATTACAGTATTTATTAATTACATATGATGCCCAGACCAAAGTAGGTGGTTTCCTTAGGGTGCCACACCCGTAACTTTCGATCTAAAGGTCTGATCCATAAGGCAGTGGAGAATCGTAAGGAGATGCAGTTCCATGATAGTCGGTAACTAACAATTGGTTTATACGCCACTTTGTCCCTCGGGATACTGGAGCTCATGTGAACCATTGATTTGGAATTAGGGTTTTCCAACACTCCTAAGGGGATGCACTATATCCACCGACCCGATTAAAGCTCCGGATATTCGCTTTTCGTCCTCTGAATTTCGTAAACGACACCGCCGCCACGAGAAAGCAGTGTGTAGGACTGCCCTGGCAGAGGCTATATACGCGTAGCTATGTGAGAGCATTTCGAGAGGGAGAGCGGACTCTCTCCACCCTCAGCCGTATCAGGGCATTTGGGAGCAATTTATCTACAACATCTGTTCGTCTATTTAAATTGACCAATTCTTACTCCGTAGATATAAGAAAACGTTCAACTAGTTTAAATATGTTCACTGAATCTTAAAAAGAATTGAAATGATTATATGTGAATACTAATTTTAACTGGGTTTTATGGAAACTTGTATCATAGTCAACATAAAATTACAATATACCATCAGCTAAGATTTAAAGTGTATATTACTCTACTCTAAAGCTTTAAAAGTCAATTTTTTCATAGTTGTATTCTCTAGGGATTAGAATTTAATACATATTGTTGACAAATTTTAAAAACGAATAAAAAACTTATTCAATTTACATAACTTTCGGTTATAAACTCTGGGACTTGTATTTTCCCATTGTACATAATCATGTTTGTATTTGATCAATCTCTGCAAGTGTATAACTTCCTTCTACTGATGTATTGGAATTCTCACAAATTACAAGTTGATTATAATTTACATAGTTGATGTTAGTGAAATTTAGAGTGATCAATCCATCTTAGTCAGTAATCATCGACCGGATATTGTTGTGCATCAGTGTCGATGTCCAAATTGGGTCACAATACTTTAACCGTCATTTTAATCCTTAAATTGAAATCTATTAAATGATGGTAATCTATTATCTTTATGTATAATATTTCGAGAATTGAGATGATGATTACTGTAGTCAAGCCTCAGTAAAAAATCTCAACAATTATGTTCAACAATTCAATTATAAAATCTTTCTATATTTTAAGAGGTTAATTTAAATGTAGCATTTAATGGATTTTCTTGTTTATAAAAGTATTTTCTTGATTCATTTAACAATCCCTATTTACTTTTATGTTACATTTAAATAACATGAAAGATCTACCTTAAATTCTTATTGAATAGTAAAATCTAATTATTATTTAGTTCAATAATAAAATCTGTGATAAGTAATTCATTTCTATTTGAATATTATAAGAATGAAAAATAACCATTTTTGATTGATCCTGACAACAACAACAAACAAACAAACATTTGATAACAGACCACAAAACATGATTTTGAAAATTCTATTTTTAATCTAAAAAAAGGGAATAATTTCATTTCATTTCAACAGTTGAAATCATGAGTCAATTGAAGCTAGACCACCATGAAAAACCTAGAAGCATTGGACGACTGTTTCGTCCTATTACGGGACTCCTTAAAGAATAATGCTTTTAGTCTAATAAAAAAATTATTCTATACTTTTATTAATTATTTATTTCTTTAGAAAGTAATTAATTCTGAAGGGTAGTAAGTTGTTATGATAATCTAACTTACATCTTTGTTTTGGTTTGTAAAGTTTCTTATATTGATTCTTTGGTAGATATAAAAAAGTTTAACTTCACTTTCATAGAGATTTTATTAAATAGACTTATCTTTCTTTTTGTATAGCTTAAGATTGAGCAATCTTCAGAAAAAGTGTAGATTAAAATAGTTTTATACTGATAACTTAAAATTGAAAGTTAGTGATTGTAATCTAAAAGAAATCATGTAATGGTAGTGTTATGAAAGGAACTGATATATGACTGATTTCCTGAACTTAGAATAGATAAATTTTTGTGAATTACTTCAAAAGGTTTCTAGATGTTAAATTATAATAATGTTATGACAGTCCAATTGATCAGTAAATAAATAAAATGATTAGGATAATTGAAGTAACAAATTACTGACAGAACTCGTCTTCGAATCTCATTTAAACATTTCAAAGGATAGAATAAATGATCAACTGAATAAATGTATTAGGATGTTAAATGTAACATCTTTGTTAGGTGAGTTAATTAAAAGACGGTAAATTACTATTGCTGGATAAAAATTAAGATCGTCAAACAGCTGAAGATTGCTATTTTTCATTTCGTGATGTTTTTGTCTGCGGCGGTGTAAATTGTTGCATTAGTTCAATTAGCAATTTTTATTCTGAAATTTCGGTTTTATTCATCTGACTCATGAACTTGTATGGGAAATATTCTTAATGGTTTGTCTTTCCCCACAATGATGTTCAGGAAAGAATTATTATCGGTCTTGAATCCCACAATTTGTTTATAGTTCATGGGTGCACACTGGTCAATAATGCCAGATTAAAACAAAACAACTGTCCAATACTACAAGATTTTAATGGTTCTCCAGTCGACAGAAGTTTACGGAGAAAACAGTTTTCAGTGTACCCTAATACTCTAATCATTTAAGTAATCACAAAATATTAACTGACATTAAATGGTTGGATGTTGTCTTAGGAAATCCTAGATCTAGGTTTCGTGCGAGTTGGCACTTGTCAGAAAAACACCGGTAATATTGAAGAAACATTTTTTATATGATATTCGAATATGCATCACTCAGTTATGTAGTTTGATACATTACCACTGATCTATTCAGACATTAACTGACCTCCTGTAAGACTGGAATATTTATTCATATTACAGTTTGATTGGTAGAATCCGAAAACCAAGGACTAGACGAACACGGTAGCTGTCACTAATCAGAAGTGTGTTAGTTATTAACTGGTGATGAGATAGGTAACCTCTTACAATTGATTCACTGCCAGCCTATGAATTATTATAGATCATAGTGACTTTACAAACTAGACTATTACCAAATCAGTTATCACCACAAAAATATGTAGGTGAATACCTGAATAAAGTATCATACTAAAATGAAACAATTGCTTATTGCTATTTATTTTTCAAAAGTTGCTCAGTTAAAGCCAATCCATAATGTAAATTCTCTTCAAATCAAACAATATTTATAAAGCTGTTGTACAAAAACTAATTTCTCTTTTACGTTTACAGAAGACTAACTTAAATAAAGGTTTTATATTTATTAGATTGATCAAAGTGCTTCGAGAATATTGTTGACCGTGATAGATTTGTAAATTCGCTTTATCTATAAAACATTTACCTTGATGAAAAAGGTTTCATAGTTAAGTTAGTTTTGATAAACACTTTAATGTCATTTGTACATGTGACTGTGTTGATTTCCTTGATTTTAAACTGATCACATAGAGTATATATTTATATCCTGCAAGAAATCGTCGCATTCAGTACAAATGTCATTACGCGTAACAGTAGTGTCGAATGAGATCCTGGAAGTTTTCAACAATCGTGTGAGTGACTGAACTACTCATTTTTTTCAGAGACTATGGATTTTCCTGTGTCAATCAAGAGTTATTAACAGCTATCAAGAACTATTTAACCATAAGTACGAAATATCCTAATGATTAAAATTTTAGTTTAAGCTCCGTTTCTAAAAATCAATAATGTTAAATCTATAGATGATATGACTTGATATTAATAATAGTGCTGATACAGATGTATTCATTTCTTATATTGGCTTACAATCTGAATACATTACCATTCCAACTTTCTTCTTTTGTACAACAAGACAACATATCGTTTAAAAAGAGTCATCTTTCACGAAAATTAATATAAAGCTAGACAAATCATAACGAAACAGGATCTGGAATGTATAAGCAAACATGCATCATAAATGAGTGAATCCAATGTTTTATTTCATGACTTGAGTGATCTTAATATTAAAGCTTTAGCGACTCTCGATCATAACCTACTTTAAATAAAAACGAAACAATTCTTAGTGATGTCACTTAGATTTAAGGGAAGTGTTGACAACTTTGTTCAAAACAGCAATGAAAGTTTCACAATTAAATCGTTTAGCTTAGAAAGAAAGTGTTTATTTTTTCTAAATAAAGAGCAATAAGTGTATCAGAATCCGGTGAATTCATTTATTTGTAGATTCTCATCAGCTCTTTGTAACCTATAAACCATAGTGTTTGGAAGATCCAGAAAATTCCTCGAAGAAAGCCAAAAGGGGCTCTGAAAACGCCGATTTGATGATTAAATATATTGCAACCATCTTTAAAAGAGTTCCAGAACTTCCAAGTAACATAAGGCCGTCTGGAATGCTCTAAATACCCTGGATGTTTTGTACATAAACGAGCCTTGGAATAAGATTTTTTGACATATTTTGACATACTGAACTCTGGCTACATTCTATTACAGACAGTGTTGGTTTACCAATTATAAATTACTACATAGTCGTCTTAATGTAATTTATTGAGATTATTTGAACAATGGATAGAATTTCTATTTTTTCAAAAGGATATGTGTTTGGTGTTTTTTATAATCTACATACACACTTATTCACTTAAACATCACGTATTGTTTAAACAGTATCCGTTTCCTTGTAGGTTACTATTGTTGTCAATGATAACCACCATAATACCAAGAGATCCTGCTTTCAAGATTTGGTTTGAAGTTAACAATTAAGATACGTTAAAATATTCATACGATGAATTAAATGTACAAGCACTTATTGATGTCAATGTACTTAGTTCTACCCTACCAGAGTTTTAATGTCTAGATGAGGAAAAATGATGAATTGTGTCTTGGCCAACTCTACCTGATCTGCTCAATCTATCATTATTACAAAACACAAATAGACACTGAATTAGTACCATTTTAGACAAAATATTTCAGTCATTCTTGTCAAGGATATATGTTTGGCATAATAATTCATCTATAGGATGTAGACTAACACCATCTGCTTACGTAACAATTATCCCACTATTATCTCGGTACCTATGAAAATCCCAGTAATACTGTACACTGAGAGAATTTATCTTTTATCATCATCCAAGTATAGTTCATATGACGTTGTTACAAATGTTTACTGATGTTCTTAATCAGAAAAAATTCAGAGTAAATTCTACACATTATTTATCCCACAGAATTCATTGATTAAAATGATCGGCAGAAAAAAAGGGATACTTTCACATCACTTGTTCATATAAAAAGAAAAGTAGAAACATATAAAACAATAGTTTATTCTTTCGTTATCTTTATCGATCAAAATTTTATGGGCTTTACCAGTAAACTAGCTGAGGATTAGTAATTATATAATTCCCAAGTATAATTTAATCACAGTATAATCGTGTTTGATTGTGATCAGCTATTTATTCTCATTAAATTATCATTTCGAATTTTAGTATAAAGGTAATTTAAATGAATAAAGTTGACCTATAAATTCATTTAATTATTATGTAGAACAAACAGTTGAAAGGACAGAAATTCTAAATAATTGTATCATTTTATTTTCTCAGTTCACACCAATATCCCTTAAGGGATAAATCAATTAGAAAAAAACAAACCTTTTTATGGAAGACTAACAGTGAATACTTTAGCCTTGAAGTAATTTAAAATTGGTTATAATGATGAACATTTTCAATGAAATTGTGATATATACATCGATTTCTTCCTCATGTCTAACTCAGTACCACTGTTACATTCATTTATTTGTTATTGTAGGGTATTCATTCAACCGTGATGTATAACCGAAGTTATAAATTATTAAATTTTTAATATCAAACGGGATTTGTGGATATTATAGTAATTTCAATAGTTTAAGTCATGAGTCAGTTGAAGCTAGAACACCATGGAAAACCTGGAAGCACTGGACGGCCGTTTCGTCCTATTGTGGGACTCCTCAGCAGTGCTCATCCACGACCTCGCCCCCCGCAAGATTCCAACCCAGGACCTACTGGTTTCGTGCGCGAGCACTTAACCACTAGACCACTGAGTTGGCATCCAACGGTGTTAATGCGTAATTTCAACTAATCCACGAAACACAGCGACACATCCACCATTGTCTTCAGTGAGTTACTATTTCACAACAGACCTGGTTGAATTCCACTGGTCACTACTTCTCACTCGAACTCCAGGATATACCTCTTGAAGCCAGTCCCACAATAGGACGAAACGGCCGTCCAGTGCTTCCAGGTTTTCCATGCTGCTCTAGCTTCGACTGACTCATGATTCCAACTATTGAAATTACTAAAATCTTTCTTTCTGTTTTTCGTAAATTCACTTAAAACTTTTATGATCTTTATACTCAAAGCTAATTTATCACAATTCAATCAAAAAATTACATTATTTACCATATGCTTGAAATGTTTCTTTTTATTATCAGTAACCACTTCAGAAATCTGCTTATTTAGAAAACATTATTTCATTTTACATTTGTACAGAATATCGAACTAAACGGTCACAACAATGAAATAGACTTAGTCATGTCATCTCCATTTATCTCTTCCAATTTATCATCAGTATCGACATTACAGGAAGAAAGTCAAACAGTACAATCATACTTAAATATAAACGAAGAGCTAAGGACAATGAAAAAAATCGAAAACAACAATTTAAATGTTCTTAACTATGTTCATCATTCGTCTACAATAAATTTGAAAGAAATTACAATCATATGGACAAATATAAATAAACCAATGAACGTAACTTATTATTTTATGGAAACATGTAATTATGCATGGAATAGTCACTGTGAACAGAAATACTATGGTCATTTAAATATTGGATTACCTGACATTTTTATTACACATTTAAACCAAAAATCTATTTCACAACAAGTCAGTTTTATGAATGAATATTCGATAAAAACACAAAATAACATCAATGAAAAATTTGGACATTTCAGTAACTGTAATGATTCAACTATTTCACTAATGGATCAAAGAATGACGAATGTGCAGACAATGTATTTACATGATTGTAATCCAATGAAATGGATGTTTTATACAACAAGATGGCCTTCTTTTCTTGTTCCAGGTAGAATGTTAACTGAAAATTTCTTAAAACCTGATTGGGCATTACCATTTCGTCGTGCTTCAACTAAACAACTGTTTGACGATATAAATCGTTATATACTGAGTGTTAAATGGGCTCATTCAAGTCAAATATTTATCATTGACCCCTTGGTATGTTATAATAGGTTCTCCTTCCATTATAGTAACAAAATATCACTAATAAAATTATTTACATTTATAAAAATTAGATTTGGCTTAGATTGACAAAAATGTTTTGTGTTACAGAGAATGTAGGGTATCGCGAATGAAATCAATGAAAAACGAAGCTTAAACCAACTAAAATACAGTAAAGCGATACGTCCACCCTGTATGGTACATTCTTGTTCTCAATAATTATAATCAAATTCAGAGTAATTTTGGCTTTTCAACATAAGATCTTGATGATCAGAATAGAGTCAATTGTTTTTGAATGTTTAGAAAACACAATACTGATTACTAAGTAATCCTTAGAAAAATATCTTTTTATTATTTAAAACGTGAAATCTTGGAAAACAATCAGAATGAGTGAATATAAAGTGTTAATTAAATTATTTGTTGTACTAAGTGAGGATTAAATGAAAATAGCCATTAGACATGAAGATAAAAGTGCATTTGAAAAGATTTTGCTCAGAAATCTATTAGTTCACAATTAAGATTTAAATGAAACTGAATATAACTAACACTTTTTTCAACAGAAACGATGGAACTTACGAAGATCTAAATTACCGTATTCTGAATTTAGACTGGTTTAATCTAAAATATATCTTCAAAGTCGCTTATATTTTGTGCAACAAAAATTGATTTAACAAATGTCAGCATTTAGAAAACTTAAAACGGTAGTCAGAATGGCAGTCTGTTTATTGGCATGATAATTAGTCTATATTTTTGTCGATGATTGAAAAAAGATACCTAGAGGTATATTTGTACAGGTGAAAACTATTAATGAGTATTTATTTGCACGACATAATGGTAAATAAGATTCCACTTTTCGATCACTTAGTTTTGCGGTTTGAATACAGGATAATTCATGGTAGCACAGATGTTACTCCTATTAAATATCTATATGCTGAAATGAATAGAAACAAAAAAATGTTGATTGATTTGTGGTATTTATTCTCATCCATGACCAGTTATTTCTCATCTGATAATTTAATAAGCTATATAATCTCAGTCAAATATTTTGTTTATGATTAACAGCTTTAATTATTTTTATTATATATTCCATCACTTTTCCTAGTAGTTCTGAATTCGAAGAACTAGAATTTCAGAATGGATTTTGTGAGTAAATTATTAAGTTTGAACTTCAGATTTGGATAGACCAGGGTATTGAAACCAAGAAGATTTACTGTTGAAACAGACGTTTTAAAATAGATGTACAGATCTGTACATGAGAACAAAATTTAACTAATATTGAACTGTTAATACTAATCTAAAAAAATTCATTAAGAATCAAATAACTGAAAAAGTCTGGGAGTTTAAAACGCCTACCATTAGTTCCATATTATAACTTCCCAAATATGGCCCAGTTGTTTAATTATATGTACATATTTCAAGATTCTGATCAGTTAAATTCCAAACTACTTCTTGAGCGGCACATACACACTTAACAGAATTCATTTTCAGCTAATAAACAAAACGCAGAGAATTGTTGTCACTTTTCTAGGTGGCCAAACTAACGTAATTCTACGAGACTTATGTTATTTATTAAATAAGCAAGTAATCCGAAGTTAGCATGCTTCAAAATTAGTGGTTTTTAATAAGCAATCTGATGATATGTTGGAAAGAAAGTTATTACTTTAAAATATTCAAACCACCAATTTTCAAAGATCTTAACAGAGTTCTTCATACAAAGTTACGTAGCGCTCGTAATGCTCGTTATAGTTTGATTCTTCAGATTTTATTCAAAAGTAATAGAAATGTGATTGACTATGTATATTACTAACATTTATTGAACAGCTTGAAAAAATGAATGGTTTATTTTAATAGTAGATGTATACATAAAGACACTATGCTTATGAATAATGCGCCCCACAATTTTAGGAAACTCATCCCGTATGTTCAACAAACGATAGATTTAAGCTGTTAACAAACAATGTTCACTTGGTAAGTGATAGCCAACACTACACAATAGACTTATGAGCAAAACTTCAGTGTTTGTAAAGAATGTAGTTAGATTTGTGTACTAATAGAAATACCATTGATAAGGTTGATACAGAGATTAGTTGAAGAGTTTATCCATTAAAACTTGAATTGTTTATATTAATATTGATAGAGTTTCTTAGGAAAACCTTTAAATCGAAATGACATAATTTGCATTTCGAAAATAATTTATTATCTCCTCGGTTTTAGTAGGCAAAACCTACTATTCAGCTAAAGTTATGTTGTATAAATATTCTCATGAAACATTTTAAGAAAATAAACGATATATGCAATAGTCCATTGATTTGCAAAGTTTTATTATCTTTTAGAAATTGTATAAAAAGCGTCTAATTGCAAGTGTTTTACGATTGTTTTTGAGATAAGCGTGTTTATCATGCAAAAAAAGTTCATATTAGATCTCATATACTGGTATATGGGTGAAATTCATTATTTAGAGTATATAGGTTGTGATTTGTAACAGACTCGGAATTTTAAAATCACTATTTCTTTCAGAAATTTCATGTCCGTTCTTGATGAATACCTTCTTTCATTAACAAGGTTTTATGTCCGAGAATAAAAATAAATGGATCCCTGTGTACAGTACAATCAGTCACTTACAACGTAGGACCAGGCACATATGTGCTTTGATCCAAGTTGTCACACCTCATCAGCACAACAAGATCAACATCAAATTCATAGTAGTTAATTCAGTGGTGGTAATATATAAGAGAAAGGTTGCAGATAAGGACATAGTACAGGAAGAAAGAGTTAGTTCGTAGAAAGAAAAATATGAAGAGATTTTAATCTCTTAGTTTAAGGGAAGACAGAGAGTGTATACACCGACGCCACTGTGATAGATTCTGAGCCATGTCACCAAGAGTCTCCAACCATTCGTTACGATAGTCACGCGGACCCCAACCAAGTAGTCTGCATCTACCAATATGGCTAAGACTAGAAGTTAGTGGCTTCAAGCACTGATGCCACGTTTTGGTTTGGCCGCCCCTAACTTTCTTCCAACCATCCCCAACACTGATCAGCATTGCGCGTCGTGGTAATTGGTGTTTAGGTATGCGTAACACGTGATCCAACCATCTTAGTCGATGAATGTTCACAACCTCATCAAATGATTTACCATCATTTCCTAATACCCTGCGTCTAACCTCACTATTACTTACCCGGTGATTCTAGTAGATGCGAGCAATATTTCTAAGACATCTGTGATCAAATACTAGTAGCTTACGAGTATCTTCTACTCTTAATGGACACGTTTCGCAGCCATAAAGTAGAACAGAACGAACTGCTGCGCAGCATACTCATCCCTTAATTGATTGATGGATATCTCACCCCCTCTGTAGGTGACGTCAGTTGGCAAAAGCCAAACGAGATTTTCGAATCCGTGCACAGATTTCGTCAGACATCAACCCATCAAGGCTGGCCAGACTTCCAAGATAACTGAAGTTGTCGACGCGTTCGACTACTTCACTCCCCATCCTTAGTTCAGGTGTTGACACAGTCCAGTCCTGAAACGAAAATTTGCATTTACATTGGGAGAAACGCATCCCAAACATCCTGGTATTGTTGCTCAGTGCTACCAGAAGACTGCATTTTATCAGCGTCTTCACCAAACAGGACTATGTCATGTGCGTATTCTAAGTCGATAAGTGTACTTCCTGGAAGAAGATTAATGCTCGAAAATTCAGTTAACGAGAGCGTTATTTCCATCACTATGTCAATGATGAATGGAGAAAGTGGACAGCCTTGGTGGACACCACTTGAGGTTGCGAAATCAGATGACGTTTCGCCATAGACTCTGACTCGACTGGTAGTGTTCGAGTAAAGAGCCCTCACAGGGTTTATCTACTTCTGAGGTACGCCTTTCGATGACAGACATTGCCACAGAACCTCTTGGTCTACAGAGTCAAATGCTTTTAAGTCATGAAAGACCACTATTGTCGGACGCCGACAAGCATGCCTGTGTTCTGGAACCTGACAAATGGTGAATATGTGGTGGATGCAACTACGACCAGTTTTGAAGCCAGCCTGATTTTCTCGTGTTTGCAGTTCACGAGTTTTAGTTAGGCGGCCGATAATTAACGAGGCTAGTATTTTAGATGCTATGATAGTCAAACTAACCCCTCTATGGTTAGCACAGGATGATTTTGACCCTTTCTTGTATATTGGGACAATCAGTGCTTGTAACTTGTCAGATAGGATTACGTCCAACTCCCAGATTTTAGCTAAACTATTAGCCAACCTAATCGCTAAAATTGGACAGTACAGTACAATCATGTTGTTTATTTTATGACCACATTCAAAATTCTCAGCTCCTCATAAAACAGAATATAACGTGCCTTCTATTAAAATAAATCGTTCTGTCACCTCTCCCATGCTACTTACACCAATTTATCTACTTCAACAAATTTTGATAAACTAAACTAACTGACAGACCAAGTACAACAACGAACTGGTGATCGTAATCATCTTTTAGTATACCAATTCATGATTTGTGTCGTTATCAAAAAGGAAAATAACAAAATACATAGTAGATACATAAACCTACTGTTGTTTTTAAATGATAAAAGATATGACAACAGATTGTATGCAAGAAAAGGAGGCTTAAAAATAGAAATAAATAAAAAAGGTTGCATTTGTCTGATTAATCTTGATTACTAATAAACCAAAGAATAAAAGCGTCAGTTTCTTTATTTCAAATCTCTTGCCGATACATCCAAAATTGCAAATGCTTAGCATTTTTCGTTCATAAAGCTTGACAATGAAGATTGTAGAAACATAACCATTCTAATAATCAGGTTTTAAGATTATACCTTGCGCTTAATCTTTTGTTTTGGATTATAAGAAAAGAAATTCTGGTTGAAAATACAAGTTAACATTTACATGTATACACAGAGATATGTAGGTACAAAATCACCTGGATACTTTCACAAGACAAATAAACATATGATTTTCAGAAAATAATTTATCTGATTTTTCATCTGAAGATGAAATTAGTTTTTGTCAGGTCAAAGTACTTAAATCCATGTTTTGTTGTACAAAGTTTTTGTTCATCACCCCTTCTTATAAAGGGAGATATGGTCATTTTGCCTACTTTCTTACATACTGTTACACAAGTTGTTTACAGAAATAACCAACTGTATTGATATATAATTGCCAATTATCATAAAGTTATGATGTCAACTGTTTGATAAAAGGAAATACATATATTTTCAACTACTTCATATCATGCCCTTTGAAGGGAACTATTAGCGTACTTACATAAGAAATTTAGTAGCATGCCCAGTTGTCGATCACATCTAGATAACTGGAAATTTAAAACCTCAAATTCCATCTGTTTGTGGGAAATTACTTTTGAAGTTTAATAATCTTGCTTTTATTAAACATTTTTATCGTGTTCTAACATACTTTTTCACCCATCCGTTTATGATTCTCAATGTAAACCGATCACTATAACTCGTAGTTACCAATATTCCAAGTTTCTAGTTGAAGTTTGATTCCTTACTCACTGGACTAATCTTTTATCGAGAATTTCATTCAAACTATTTATGGGAAGAAAAAAAATCATCTGATTTATATTTATTTCTTAAATCAACCTACTGTGAACAGGAAGACCTTCACAGCTCATTTCAGATTTTTTATTTTGAGAATTGTGGGTACTAGTTTGACAGTGATAAACATGAAATTGCTGGTGTAAATTGTAGAACAAATATGGAGTATTTTCATGTTAACGTTTTATGTGAGAATTAAGATTGAAATAATTTAAGAGCATTGTAGGATATTTTTGCATGAATTAATACTTGTGTTGTCTCATGAATAATTAATCTGAAAATAGTTACAAATATTATCTGTTATTCCCTTCAGGCCTTATCACCATTTTCGCCGATAGCTCTTCGTATTATCTATGATCATAACGAACCTCAAAATGAGAAATGGATATACGTCTCTGAATGGTTATCACCTTGGCATTCAAGTACAATTTTTACAACCGAACAACGAGGCAGATTTCCCGGAATTTCAATCTTCTGTTGGTTAGCTTTTATTTCAAATTGGATTAGTTATTTATCTCGATATGAATTATATCACACCTGTCTTGGTTATTCACGCCCTGAAACAACAATCTTTTCTAAAGCGTGCAGATTAACAGAGCCATTTGGTTCATGTTATACTTTTTCTCATTCTCTAACATGTGGTCAAATAAGTTTATTTGATGGTTGGATATTATGGTTAAGTAGTTTGATGATGCAGCAAATTACTAAATTCTCAGTAAAATTACTAGATTATATTAACAAGAAATACATTAAATGTTTACCTGTGTGTCGTTTATCTTCAACTTATAATCCACTTAATGGCTCGTCTACAGCTATATATGTTTTTACTGATGTTGATGAGATTTAATTTGTAATTGGAATGTTTAAAATTATTTTTTCTTGTTGACTTAAGTCTGATTAAAAAATATTTCTTCTTCATATCATGGGACAAACTCGAAACGATTATTAAATCAATAAACCATATCACAGATCCAATACTATTTTGTAGTGCTATTCATACTCATACTTAATTACCTTATGATCTTAAAATGATACGTGAGTTAACGTTCTTTTAAAATTGTGATAAAAATGAACTTTCATCCGAATTAGAATATTTGAATCTATTCCATGTAATGTTAAAATATTATCTGGCATTGAGGGAAACATGTGTCTTGAATTTCGTGTAGTTTAATCGTATTATCTTACAACTTTCGTCTGAATATAAACGGATAGTTTTACAGTACCTGAGTACTCACTTGATGAAAATTGTCTAATCATCACTCCTGATGTTTCTAGGACCAGCACACCGAACGAAACGTTGTTTTAATTATAATCGACGAAACTTTCACAAATATAATTCCCTCTTTAACGTCTAATCTTATTGTTATTTTGGAAAGTTTCTATCTGTTTAAAGCATCCAGTGAGGAGTTGTAACCAGTGGAGCTAACCCGTGCCGGGTAGAGACAGGTATCCACCTCAGTATAATGGAAGATGGTCGCGCAATTTCTTGGATTGGTTGATGTTAGACACTAACACCATTGGATGCCGACTCAGTGGTCCAGTAGGTAAAGCGTCCGCGTGCGAGACTGAAGGCCCTGGGTTCGAATCCCGCGAGCGGGATCGTAGATCGCACTACTGAGGAGTCCAACGATAGGACGAAATGGCCGTCCATTGCTCCCAGGTTTCCAACGGTGGTCTAGCATTAATCGGTTCATGATCTCAATCATAAAGCATCCACGTTGCACGAAATAAAATTTAATAATAAAATCATACTTTGAACAACTCGTCAGATATAAATACTAGCCAAGTTCATAAAATACCATACTCAGTCGAAAATGAACTTCACACTTTTACAGTAAATGTTTTCCAACTTATTAATATCCTTCAAAATGAGTGTATCAAATCACATAAATAAAGACTGATTCTTACTTATCTACTTCATAAAAATAACTTTTTGCTCTAAAATGAATGCTAAAGGGATTAAAATCGTTGGTGTAACTATGATTTAGTAATTATAGATGGAGTTGACTACTTATGAATGAATTCTGAATATTAGTGCATGTTCAGTATCATTGTGATCCAGAGATTACTCATACATTCATTCATCGATTCAGAATTTAAGAGTTGATAAACAGGCATTGATTGAAAGCGAAGCAAGTGACGGAATCCAAACGAGTATTTCGCTTATATTATGGATCAAGTTCCTGAGAAGATTGTCAATATTATCCGGAACTCATACGACGGACTACAGTGCAAGGTCGTGCATGGAGGACAGCTGACAGATGCATTCCAAGTAAGGACCGGAGTCAGACAAGGCTGTTTACTCTCTCCCTTCCTCTTTCTTCTGGTGGTCGACTGCATTATGAAGACCTCGACATCTGAAGGAAAACACGGAATACAATGGACAGCTCAGAATCAATTAGACGATTTGGACTTCGCAGATGACCTAGCCCTCCTATCGCGTACACGCGAACAGATGCAGATGAAGACAGCCAGTGTAGCAGCAGTCTCTGCATCAGTAGGCCTCAGTATACACAAAGGGAAAACCAAGGTCCTCAAATTCAAAGCGGAGAACAGCAATCCAATCACTCTCGATGGCGAAACTCTGGAAGATGTAGAGTCCTTCACATACCTAGGAAGCATCATCGATGAACAAGGAGGTTCAGATGCAGATGTAAAGGCGAGGATTGGCAAAGCAAGGGTCGCATTCCTACAATCGAAGAACATATGGAACTCAAAACAACTTTCAACCAATATCAAAGTGAGAATCTTCAATACGAACGTCAAGGCAGTTCTACGGTATGGAGCTGAAACTTGGAGAACTACAACAACCACAATCAAGAAAGTACAAGTATTTATAAATAGCTGTCTACGCAAGATACTCAACATCCATTGGCCGGATACCATCAGCAATAGCCTTCTGTGAGAGAGAACAAACCAACTTCCAGCTGAAGAAATTAGGAAAATACGATGGAAGTGGATAAGACATACATTACGCGAATCGTCAAACTACATCACGAGGCAAGCCCTAACTTGGAATCCTGAAGGGAAGCGGAAAAGAGGAAGGCCAAAGAACACATTACGTCGGGAAATAGAAGCAGATATGAAAAGGATCAATAAGAACTGGAAAGAGCCGAAAAGGATTGCCCAGGACAGGGTTGGATGGAGAATGCTGGTGAGCGGCCTATGCTCCTTCACGAGGAGTAACAGGCGTAAGTAATGGATCAAGTAAAAGACAAAGTAATTAATACTTATCAATTTCTTTATTTGTAACCCGATTCGACCAACACTTTAGACTATAGAATATTCTGCTTAAGCTTAAATCAACTACGCATTAAAATTTTAATCGATAATTGGAAAGGATAAAGATAAAACCTCAGACCTAGGTCTTGTGCTTGTTGATAACCTTTCGACAAGTTGTATCTGCAATCATAAGAATAAAGATGCTACTCGATAAAATTAAAGGCATTGCCATTAAGATACTCAAATTGCAATTGACTATCTGTAAGAACTGAACTGATGAGTTCATAAACAAAATGAAGACCATCCAACACAAACTTTTCTTCACACCGATGTAATTTAAGTTGTACAACAGTATATTTAGTTCTACATATGGTGGTCTAGAGTGAAACGGGGAGCATCGTATTACTAAAAAAATTGTCAAATATTATCAACTTTCAAGTACTGATCATATAGTCACGCGCTGTCACGGAAATCATCATCTAGTAATGTTTGCACATTCAACAGGAAGTTTGGATCAAACATTTGTGCAACAAACCCTCACTTTGTAATGGTCTACTACATGCAGAACTAGCTACATATCACAGCCCAAGTCAAGGATAGTTGCAAATAAAATTTTCTTTGCTTAGCTGTTCGCATTTCGTTTGATGGCGTAATGGGCTTCTTTCGTTGCTATTTTGACTTACGTATGTACTGAAAGGTATACAGTCCAGGAAACTAGGAAATGTTAAGAGGACTCTAGTAATCGTAAAGCCTATCTCATTTTATCGAGACTGTTAGCTAATGGATATGATAGTTCCTGTCAAATTTCATATTGGTACTAAGTACCTAATTAGATGAGGGCGTATGAGTGACGATGCTAAAACATAATTAGATTTTACCTAAAAAACCGATAGTGCAGTCTTATGATCGCTTATGGTAAAAATAAAAATATGCTTGGGACATATTAGTTGCTTTAGAGCTGATCTGAATCATAAGAAAAGTTAAATGCATCGACAACTTCAGCTATTGGTTTTGACAGGTAAAGTCTGAAAAAATCTCGGTACAAACCTTTATCAACTGAGGCAATAGGGAACTTACGTGTAGTGTAGCTGGAAAAAAGATGGCAGTAGGTTAAACAATACGTAGTATCAGTGCATGTAGTCTCTGACTCATGTTAAATTTAGACCATGTGGTTCCAGACAGCACGATATTTATGGTCAGTGGAGAGAGACAATAAGTCATGCGTCAGAATAGGCCATAGATAGATCCGCACTCGATATCGAATCCCAAGTTTCCATCCCACCTTTCTAATCACATTTTTAGTGCTTCTTTCATTTTGCCCTTCTAACGTACTATTTTGACTCCATAACTATTCATCTTTATTATAATAGCGTCATGTGGTAACTTCGGTCAACGTACATTTGTAACAGGCACTACTTCCTTTGACTGATAACGACTGACTCGGTAGGGATTTAGTGGTCCGTGGATCTGACTCCATGTAGATCGTACGAATGTTTGTTATCACCTATCCTCGTATACAATCATCGACTTAAATCACGCTAGTCGATAACGGAATTTAGATAAGTCAATTAACGAGAATGGCCTTTGAATACATACATTTTGTATGTAAAGTGAATGTAATAGAACAAAGCAAAATGACGCGCAGGGGAGATGGCTGGTAAGCCAACTCATTTTTAGCCAGGCGTTACTCAATATTCATAGGCAGACAAAGTAAACTACAGACGTGATGAGACATGGGGATATGAAGTGTACACACATACGCTCATATAAAAACAGTCAAGACTGATAAGCGAATAACTAACAGGGTCAAAATATGACTCAAGTAGAATGAATAGATTGGGCTGTCCGAAAGTTAGAATAAAGCATATGGGCTTAACATAATGACTGACACTACAGGAAGATTTTTTAAAGCAGTCCAAAATTCAATTAAACCACGATTAATGCAAAACAGAAGGAAACGAGCAGTAAAACTGACTATAAGCAAGAGAGCACATATCAAATATAACTTCCTTATAGTATTTAGAATGTGGCATATTTAAGCAGATCAATTTATCTGCATATGTAAATGGGGAAATTTTCTTTACATTTGAATTTACGTACATGGTCGACCAGTCAGCCCAGCCAAGTCAACCCCAAACTTCCACGCCCATACATAATCTCGAATCAAATGTTCATGCCACCTATATATCAAATTATTTTTTGAATGAAACAGTTTGAGGTCGGAACGGCACACATAAGTGCCTCGGCTCAGGTTATCATGATACAATGAAAATACGTAGATATGCGCAAAGATTAACCACTAAAAGATTAAGAAAAATAACCTATCGATAAAGCAATTCAATAAATAACAGAAACGACTAACAGTTAGAAACATATTTGAGTCAGAGGACGCTTCATTCTTTGGTCTTTACCGGTTAACTTGTGTATTTGCCAGATGAATACAGAACCTCGAAAAGTATTATCGACTACTACTCTTGAAGTGGATATTTTTGTTTATATAAGGTATTTAGGTGGATTCCATAAAACTAGATTACGGCTGAAGGATGAGGGTCGCTAAAGGATGAATTCCAGAAGACATGAAGCCTTAATTATCAGACATTGCAGATTTGCAGTAGCCTAACACAATCAACCGGAGTTTGAATCAGTACATTTGCAAACTCGTGACTTCAGAGTACTAGCAATTGCAATAACAAAACTGGTTCAAAGAGATTGAGATTCACCACAATACCCTTTTCAGACAAAAATATTACGAGGCGAAAAATTTTCGGAGACGTTTTATATGTTCATTATCAGAAACATGTACATTAGGCCTCTCGTGTTTGGATGGGTAGTCTGAATTTTTCAACTAAGTACTTCAGTCCATAAGATTCTTCTCCAATATCAGTTACCACAATGCATGAGGCCGACACGACCTTTCTAGCCTTTCCTTCTTTGTCATACTTACACAATCCGGACCACTCGCCAAGCTTTTTATTATCAGGGACCTGCAGCCTTATATTTATATTAAGTTATCATACCTTCACAAGAGGGATGCCATGTTCATGGCATAGTGCTTCAATCAGAGTTGTGTAAGCTTTTTCATTGCAATTTTCTGCCAGGAAACAAAGAACAACACCT